GTGTCACCATTGCTTGGAAGTCTGGTGCACAGTGATATCAGAATTCATTTTGCACAGAACTCCTGTTCTCAGCCTCAGACCTGTCTCAGCTTCTTCCTCCCAGAGACTGATGTGTCCACCAAAGTTATTTTCCTTTTTCACTGGACACCCAGATAAGCCCTATTTCCCAGCAAGAAGCAACATCACTCCTTCCAGGTTCGGCTGCAGAAGCTGGCCCCTGGCTCCTGCCTCATTCTGGGTGATCAAAAAAGATGGGAAGGGGAGAAAGATAGATGTGGGTTACAGATGAAAGAAGTGTGTCCTCCAAGTTCCTGGCAGGCGGATGGAACAGAGCCTCTGCCCCACCTGTACTGACTAGACTCGATGTGTATGAGAAATAAACTTGGTTAGGTCAAGGGAGGTAAGGATCAATCTACATGTAAAAGTCTTCCCTCATGGCATTGGCCTCTGTGTGTTGCTCAGCCACCCCCATAAGCTGAAACCCCACAGTACAAATAACCTTGGCTAACACAATGTAGACTCCATGCTCTGATTTCCAGGCTGAGAATCTTGGCCTTATCCATGACTGCAAAACCGGTCTGCTGACAAATCCTTCTGGCTTTATCTTCAAAACACACAGAGATATGCATGCACTGCCACTCACCTCTGCTGGGTTTTTCAGCAGCTTCTGGGGTCTCCCTGCCTGCCTTCTGTCCTTCTTACACCCTGTCTGCCATCCTGGAGTCTGCAGGATCCATTCAACCTAAATCCATTTCTTCTTTGCTCAAATTCTGCACATGCTCTTACCACTCTCTGAGTTAAAGCCAAAGGCAGTTCATATCATGGCAGCAATCAATAAGCTCTCATAGCATTTGACTCTCTTGTACAAACATGCCTACTTCACACTGTGGTCAGCTCCTATTATCCACCTCCTTGCTTCTCCCCTGACATGCTGGCTCACTCTGCATCAGGACCTCTGTAGCGGCTGTTCCCACTGCTTGGAATGCTTATCCCATACCTCTGCTGGACTCAGTTCTTGGCTTGAGGTTTTTGCACATATGTCGTAACATAATCTGCTCAATGAGGCCAGCCTAATCTTCTTTATAAAAATTGCAGTCCATATTGGCAAGGTGGCACACACTTATACCCAGCAGTCTTAGGAAGTTGAGGCAGGAGAATTACAAGTTTGAGCCCAGCCTGAACAACTTAGTGACTTAGTGACATCCTGTCTCAAAAAAGTTCTGGGGTTGTACCTCAAGGCAAACGCCCTGAGTTCAATTCCTAGTACTAAAAACAAAATTGTAGTCCAATCCCTACCCTAACCTGGAACTCCCAATCCCCTTTGTCCTGTTATTTTTTGTATAATACCTGTCTCTTAACATACATCTAATGTGATACCATCCTATATCTGCCCTGTAGGAATCGAAGCCACTCTGGGACTTCATGTGTGTTGTGTTCTCAGGTGCAGCCTGAGCATGCAGAGCAGTTGTCAGCGTGTATGAGGTGCTCAGAAGCACCTGCTAAAGGCAGGAAAGATTTCAGGCCTGTAGACCACAGACATGTGAAAGATAACATCATCCAATGGAGTAGAAGTTCTTAAGGACTTCAGCTACATGCAGGACAGAACACCAGGCTGGCACTGACAAACATAGCTCTGAAGTCACTAGAAAACTGTGAGGCTCCTGCTCAGGGGGACCACACTTAAGTTCACCAACATCACATGGCTGAAAGCCTCTTCTTTCAGTGGGGCTCACAATCACTCTTAACATTTACCTGTTCATTGGTATCACAGGAGCTTCACAAATGTCAACAGGCTGTGATAGAGCTGGGCTAGATGCTGCCGGGCAAAATAATTAATTTTCTGAGATGGCTATGCTGCTGCAGATGGTCTTCAGCTCCTAGTTTCAAGGAATACACCTGCCTCAGACTCCTGAGTAGCTGGAACTGAAGGCACACACCACCGTGTCTGGCCAGACATAAGAATTTTAAATCAACTTGCAGGGACATGCAGCCAGGTTTGAGCTGTACCTCTCCAGGACATGCCAGCTGCAGAATCAATAGGCACATAGGGGCTGTTGGGCAATTATGGAGGACAACGGTGACTAATGCAATGAAAAACGAAGCAAGCCGAGAAATCAGAAGTGGCAAAAATAAACTTGAATTTAGCATATGCTTGTCTACAAATGAAAAGCCTTAACATGTTTTCCTTGCTGTGTACAAATAGGGAGTTTCAATCTTGAGATGTTTTGGAAGAAAAATCTGGAGGGAAAAGCTGCTCAACTGCAATCCAATTTTATGGCTTCCTCCGCTCCTTTATTAGAGCCAGCTGTCTATCTCATTACTAAGCAATTTCAATGCTTTCCTTTTCAGGTGCAGTTCAGGTCAGGAGAGGCAACACTTACGTTTATAATTTTTCTTGCCTTGCAGTTGGGTTTCACACTTAACAGAATCTATAGAGTCTAGATGTCCTCCTAGAACTTCAGTCTTAGGGGTAGGCTCCTAGAATTGTGATTAACTCATGATCCAATGCTGTGATTATGGGCATGAGTGGTACAACCACCCTAGGGCGGGTGTGGCCTACATACAATGTAAGGGACAGAAAGAATCTTCTCTCTATGCTCTTCTTCTTTGCTCTTATTACTTTTGCTGTCTTCTGCCACCATGAACTGGTGCCCTCTGCCACGTGCCACTCTGCCTTGGAGTCAGATGATGATGGACCAAACCCCCCACAAACTGTGAGCTTTCCTTCCTTCATTTTGGGTGTCAGGTATTTTGTCTCAGCAATGAGATAAAAGTAACAAAGACATATATTTTCTATAGTTTCAATGAATGGTCTGAAATTAAACCAAACAAGGTTAAAAATTAGGAATTTGGGGCCGGGGATTTAGCTAAGTGGCATAAGCGTCTGCCTGGTGAGTGTGAGGTCATGAGTTCAATCCCTGGTACAAAAAAAAAAATTAGGAATTTAAGATTTGAGATACTTCCCCGGCACCCGCGCATGTGTGCACATCCACAAACACATGAGCTGAGCTACTTAGCTGGGTATAGTGGCATATGCCTGTCATCCAGCTAATAGGCTGAGGCAGGATTACCTGAGCCCAAGAATTTGGGCAACATGGTGAGATCCAGTCTCAATACACACACACACACACACACACACCACCACCACCACCACCACCACCACCACCACCATTAATAACAACAAAGACTGAACTACCAAGAAGGATTTTATTAGTTGTTCTAGATTATCAGGGGTTTGTGTGTGTGTGTTGGGAGGAGGTCTTTTTGAGACAGGATTTTCCTATGCAGTTCAGGCTGGCCTGGAGCTCACTTTGTAGCCCACTTTGTAGCTGATCTCAAATTTGCAACAATTATCCTGCCTTCAGCCTCCCAAGTGCTGGGATTACAGGCATGCACCACACCTGGCTAATTACCAGTTGAGAGCAGAGAGCACAACTCTGCATCTCCCCAGCACCCTACATGGTGCAACACACGTATCAGGCCTCAGTAAATATTTTGTAGGATTATTATTAAGCAAGAACAAGTTTTACAGTTTATAAAGTGCTTTCAAAGAAAGCTTCTGGAGTCTTTTCAAATTCTGCTCTTCTCCCTTGCCAGGAGAGCGAACTTGGGCTCAGAGAGGGTAGCTGATGCATATGGGGTACATTAGGATCTAGAGATGGCTTTTGAGACACCAGGTCTCTCACAGCCTTTTCTACTCTACAAAGCAGTAAGTAAAATCATGTCTCAAATCATGAGTCTAGCACTGTGAAGAATGTTCCTTTCTAAGCAGTGCCTCTCATGGGAGAAAAGTTTATTATTTCTGCGTTAAGGGTGTCTGCTCTGCCATTCATGTAAATTTCCTTAGCATTTAAATGTTTAAAATTTAGACTTCTTGGGTTGGGGTTTAGCTCAGTGGCATAAGTGCCTGCCTGGCAAGCACAAGGTTTTAAGTTCAATCCCCAGTACCAAAAAAGACAAAAATAATAATAAACTTCTTAAATACTTGGAATAGTTCCTCAAAAACCCAAATAATGTTTACAATCATGCCCCTTGGTGCTGACTGAGGAGGTGGTAACTCATGGAACTACTGTTACAGACCCTCTGGTCCAGGAGGAGGAGAATCAAGAGCCAGTGCCTGTGGTCAACATCTGGTGAGGCGGGGCATGATGGTGCACACCTGTAATCCCAGCATTTAGGAGGCTGCGGCTGGAGGATCACTGCAAATTCAAGGGTAGCCTGGGCTATACAGTGAGACTGTTTCAAAACCAAACCACCTGGTGAGGAACCTGCCAGTGCCTGCCTTGTAGAGGCCAAAGTGCCTATGCTTAGGAGGTCTGGCATTTCCTCTGAGGACCATGGTACAGAGGCCAAGAACAGCTTACAGAACATGCCCAACCCCATCTTCAGAGTTCCTCAGCCTGTTACTGGCCCATTAGTTGTACAAACATGATTGCAAAGAGGACAGCAAATGGATAGCTCCATCTGCATTAAAAATATGTCTGCATATGACAACCCCTCCCCAAATCCTTCCACATTCCTTAATAAGTAGAAATTGGGCCAGGTGTGGTAGCACGTATTTGTAGTCCCAGCTATTTGGGAGGCTGAGGCAGGAGGAATTGAAAGTTTGCCAGTCTGTGAAACTTAGACCTTGTCTCAAAATCAATTAGCTGGGAATGGTGGCACACGCTTGTAATTCCAGCACTTAGGAGGCTGAGGCAGAACTGTCATGAGTTTGAGGCAGCTTGGGCTACATGCTGAGTTCAAGGGTAGCACGAAAACATAAAAGAAAAAGGGACTGGGGATGTAACTCAGTGGTAGTTTCCCTGGGTTTGATGAGAAGGAATGAGTGGTTCACTGCAATGGTTCCGGGAGGGTCTCAGCTGGTTCCTGGCCTACAGGGGTCTCTGTGCAGCCCTAGGGTGATCTGCAGTCCGTCACAAGACCAGGAGCAGACTGGTTTTTTGCTAACAGTCTATTTTACTAACAGGACTATTTTGATTTAGAAATAGGACACACACTGCTTAAATACTTTTATTATTTTTTAAAAATTATTTGGACATTGATAACTCTGCAAAATACTTCTCCCATCCCAAACCCTCAAACCCTTTCTATGTCCTTCTTAAAGAAACAAAATACTCATATTTCGCACCCATTCAAATCTAATTTTAAAAAACATTTTTAAAATCAAATATTTTTCTTTCCCAGAACTTGTTAGTAATTTTAAACCACAACGCAACATACTTAATGGCATTTCTTTCTTAAAAATTAGCTTATCAGACTATTTTATGAGGAAAAAAATTAATTCAAGGCCTTAGAGAATATAAACTCCCTGCTTCTGAAAGAAAAGACACTGGAGACCCCTTTGTTTGCCTAGAGTTTGCGATTTCAGCATCAACAGAACCAGTACAGATCGATGTTCTACTTAACATTAGGCATTGTCTAGTTACTTCTGGACTGCAGCTGAAACCCTACACAAACTTTAAAAGGAAAAGTGGGTAGAAGGGAGAAGTCCAGGCATAAGAGGGACAAGGCTGGGGACTAGCAGAATGGAAGCCTTCTAAGTAGTTGGTTAAGAACCAAATTCCTAAGGATCCCACCAGATGGCAGGCTTGTTTGGGGTGGAGGAAGACTAAGAAATCTGCAAGCTGTGTATCTAACAATGAATACAAATGTCAACCAAAAATATTGCACATAGGATCAGAGGCATGTAAACCACTAAGAAGGTTCAGGAAAGTACAAATACACATGAAAGTGACTTCCCAAAGGTCCTTCCGGGACAGAGAGAAAAGAATTGGTATTGATTTGGGGAGTTACTAAGAAAAGGTGGAAAAATGCTTAGTCCTACCCCTTTGCTCAGTGGGCCGACTTAAGCCAATTAACCTGTTACAGACATGGCTGGAGGATCTGGTGAAGGTATCATGTCTCCATTTTCTCTAGTACATCTGGTGCACTTCACTACCTCGCTAAGGAGAAAAGGAAGAACTTCTGTAACAGATACCAGCAATACCTGCACTCCATGCACACTGGTGCACCACTCAGTGCCACAACTCTAAGGATGACTACCTGCTGCTCTGAGTGGGGGGCCAACATCCTTCCAGGAGGCCAGCAAGTGCCACGATCTCCCGGTATGGAAAGGAAAGATGCAGGGAAGGGGAACGAGTACCACCTGAGGAGAGCCAGCCTCGCTGTAGGCCTCCTTTACTCTTCAGGGATATCCCTCAGCTTAATGGAGCAAGGGCAACATCTTGAGTGTGAACCAGCAGTCTGACCAGAGCCAGACATTTACTGCCGTGCTGAGTTTTAGTGGTTTTTTTTAAAAGACAAGGTCTCACTAAGTTGTCTGAGCTCCCAAATGCTGGGACTATAAGCACGTGTTATTACACCCAGCTTGAGTTTCAAGGATGAGAAAACATTTTCAATGCATCTCTGGGAATGGATGTGCATTATTTTTCCACCATTATTTTCAGGGTGATTTTTTTTTAGGGTTTTGAAGCCTGCCCTCATTGAATGGTTAGGCTGTACCTCTGTATAGTCTCTGGACAACAAAATTTAGACGTCACAAGTACCCACTGGCTACTTCCCTGAATTCTGTTCTTTTAACACGTTCCTGCCAGCTTGAACCACTGGTGGCAGAAGTGGTAGTTATGCACAGGACAGTCATGCATGTACCACTGGTGAGTCAAGCCACCCAGCATTGAGACATATGAATTATGGCCCCCATTGTGAATATGTTAAGGGTTCCCCTAACATTCAGACTCAGTAACTACAGTACATGTCACCAAAAGGAAAGTCACTTCTTGAGAATAAAATCATTCCCCCATTCATTTCACCAAAGGGCTTTGCATTTTCTTACATGGCCCATGGATGTGTAACATGCAGGCTGTTCTGCTCCTGTTGTTACAGTGTTATCTGCTTTTGGGGGGGGGGTCAGGGCAGAGGTGCTCACGGAACTCAAAGTCTCATGCATGCTAGCCAAGTGCTCTACCATTGAGCTGTTCCCGCACCCCCACACTATCTTATTTTTAAAGCTTTTCTTATGTTCACACTAAGTCTTGTAAACCACCAGAAAAATGCCAATTCCCTAAAGCCCTGCTCATATTTGTTGGTTACAACTGGTGCCAACCTATTAAGCTCTTAAACATTTAGAAAAACAAAAGCAAAGAAACACACACACACACATACACACACACACACATGTGCATGTGCACACACACACTTTGGCACATGAGCCTCAAGTTATTTGACTGTGTTCATATTTCCCATCCCTCATCTCATCCTGGCATTTCAGTCACTGTTTCTGGAGAATGAAGACCCTTTCCACCTTGTGGAAAAGGTCATCAACAAAGCATTGTTGTTTTGAGTAGCAAAAGGAGCAGATACAAATTCTAAACTGGCCCCAAAAACAGTTCTTGTGTTTAGCACTATAATTTATGTGATGCTGCAAAACTTTTGTACCAGGATGACTTATTTCAAAACTGCTGGTTGATTAAATATACATATACATATACATATAAAAATTACTAAGTCAACATTTGCTGTTTTCAATGTGAAAACGATAAAATGTAATTCTGAATAATTGTGCATTTGCCATAGGGTCCTCATTAAAGGGACCATAAAAATAATTTTGTAATTAAAAAAAACTCTTATTTTTAAGTTTAATATTGCCCTCAAGTTCAAAAGTTTGGAGCAAGATTACTGAGTATGCAGGTTTGAGATCTGTTCCTGCCAGGGATCTGGAAGCCTGAAATTTAGTGATCCCACTGCAGGCCCAGGAACCTGACAGCCACGTAGTAGCCCTGCGTAGTTAACAGTATAGGGTTCAACAGAGCCCGCTGAATGAAGACTGGTGAAGCCCCATAGGGTCCTGCCTTGTTTCACTGGTGGCAGATGCAGCTGCAGCTGGCCAACTTCTTGCACAGAGCTCTGAGGACACAAGGGTGCTGGGGCTCTGCCTTTTCTTGGGTTACTGGACAAACAATTGGGGAGGGGTAAGGTTCTGGGTGGGGACCACTGAGCACCAAGGCTGAGGGTAACCCAGGAGCTGACCTTCTGCTCGGCTGGAAGCAGGGCCGAGGAAGGAATGGGCATTTCAGCGATGCAGAAGTGAGCTGTGCAGGAAGGAAAAGTGCATTTAAGGTAGCTTGAAAACAGATGATGACCAGACTGCCACAGAGTTGGAGGAGGAAGGAAGATAGTCCTCCACCTGCCCCGCTGGTCAGCTGTTCTCGTTGGATTCTGTGGGTTAACATTCATGCTTTCTGATGCGAGTCTGCTCGTGAAGAAACAGGAATACAACTCTCCTGGTTCTCGCAGGTACACAAATTTCTTGGCAAAGCTCTTTGCTGCCAAGTTCAGTTTTATTTGGTTGATGTTCTAAGCCGATGTCACCGAAATTCATAGATGGGTGCACTGTGTTCAGGAACATGGGTTAAGTTGAGGGACTGATACCTGCAATGAGGGAAGAGACAGAATGGGAGGTAGTTGGCTAATGCAGGCTGAGCAAAGAATGTTAAGAGAATTCCCAAACCAGAGCACCCAGCAAATCATACTCAGAATAAAATGCTAATTCTTTTTTGGGGAGTAGAGGGCAAGGGAACACGGTCTTCACTATATGCCTAGGCTAGTCTTAAACTCCCAGGTTCTGCCAGGTAAGGTGGTGCATGCTGATACTCCCTGCACTTGGCAGGCCAAAGCAGGAGGATTGCTGCAAAGTTGAGGCCAGTCTGAACTGTATAGTGAGACCCTGTTACAAACAAACAAGAAAGAAAGAAAAGAAAAGACAAGACGAGATGAGACTCCTGGGCGTAAGCAATCCTCTTGTTTTAGCCTTCCAAGTAGCTGGAATTAAGGATGTGTGCCACTCCAGCTCTCTGCTAATTCACTTTGCACATCTCAAGTGAACACAGTTTGATTATTTTTTTCTTTTTGGGTTATCTTTCTGAACCATAAATAAGATGAATTGTTTTTACATATTCTGTGTTATTCATGAGAAATAGGATCCTGATAAGCTCTGTGGAGAAGATGCAGTCTGCAGCCTGGCCCTCCCTCCCTCTGCTGCTTGGCCTCTCACTTTGTAATGTTCCATCTGTATCTACAGAACACCAGGCTGAAGTATCCAAGAGCTTCATGGATGACACAGGAATATCCTAATTTTGTGGTATCCAAAAAGAGTATGGAACAAATAACTTCCCAACTCCCTAAACTTTATCTTACAACTCAAGTCCATTTTCTCATTTCCCAAGGCGTGGCATTAAGACTGGAGCACAACAGTGGAATCTGAGTTTGTGCCTCCCCAGCTAACAGGTGCTCTGAGGAGTTACAAAGGAGGGAGAGAAAGGTGGACGGCTCATACATGTGGATGACAGGCTCTGGGCAGATTTAGTCAATGGCTAAGGAGGTTAGCCCTCCTCCATTTGTTTTACAAAGCAGTGAGGAAAGACAAAGGAAAAGCAGTTTATTTCTTATTTTAGAAATGGGCTGGGGAAGTAGCTCAATGGTACAGCAGTTGCCTACTATGCCATTTGATTCACAGCATCCTCCCCCTCCAGAAAAAAAATCAGGAGAGTAATATATGGTCACCAGGAATTTGCAAATTGAAACTACAAAGAACCACTACTTCATGCCTCTTAGCTATAACTAAAAAGATATGATAATAAGTGTTGGGAGGTTGTGGAGAAATTGAAACTCTCAAACCCTGCTGTGAGAATACAGAATGATGTAGCTACTGTGGAAAGTTTGGCAGCTCCTCAGGATGTTAAATGCAGAATCACTGTATGACCCAGCAATTTCACTTCTAGGGATAGCCCTTAAGAAAATAAAAGCGAGAACTCAGAAACTTGTACACTCATGTTTACGGCAGCATTATTCACAAAAGCCAGAAGATGGAAACTACCCAGGTGCCATTAACTAGTAAATAGACAAATAACATGTTGTATACATATTCAATGGGAACTTATTTGTTAATAAAAACAAAATTCTGATATACTACAACATGGAGGAACCCTCAAAATATGTTAAGCAAAAGATGGCAGGGATAAAGTTCACATGGTGTAGAATGCCATTTATACAAAATATCCAGACCAGGCAAATCTATATTTAGCAAAATAAGATTAGTGGTTACCTAAAGCTGGGAGGAGATGAGGGACAGGATGATGGTTAAGGAGAATGGGGTTGCCTCTTGTGGTGGTAAAAATATTCTAGGCTGAAATGTGAGTCAGTGGTAGTGTGCTTGCCAAGCCTGTGCAAGGCCTTGAGTTTGATTCTTAGCATTGCAAAAAATACAAAGAAAATATTCCAAAGAAGATATTAATATTCCATAGACCACTGACATGAGTGAGTTTTATGGAATGCAGTAATATCTCAATAAAGCTGCCATTTAATAAAAAAGATTATGAAAATTATAAAAATTCACTTGAAAACAGAACAATTATTAAAGTCTACTACTGTATTATGGCAACAGGGTTGGATCACCCACAAGTCATCCAAGAATGAAACATTTGAAAGGAAATAAAATGTTTCTACCTTCAGAAGGAAATAAGGTGTTATATAATATGGTTCCCCTCCAGGTACAGCAAACTGCTTAAATAAGCACCAAGGAGGCCACCAAAAGACAGCAAGTTGTAAGCACTTACGGTTGCCGTCTGTCCTTTACTAGGGATAAACACTAGGCAAGACTGTCAACATCACCCTAGCATCAACTGGAATTAATTACACATGGAATGAGTGATGCCAGCTAACAGCAAAATTCACACTGTCCCCAACAGGATTAGATGATATTTTAGTGATGGACTAAATTTAAGAGAATACATGCAAAACCAGTAAGACTGAGATAAGCTTTTCTGAAAGTACTGTATTGACTGTAAATATTTATGGGAGTATTCAGTGGGAGAAAGTTTGCCTAGAGGGGCACAGCACTCTAGGTAATTCTATCCCCAGAACTATGGAAAAAAAAAAAAGAAGGGGGAGACGGAAAAAGGAAATGAACTCTTTACCCGATACTTCATTTGTTCTGCTCTGTACACAGGAATGTGTCCCTATTCTGAGCCAATGAGGTGATTTAAATAGGGTCTCAGCACCCAAATAAAATCTGTAGAGAGAGATCGAGAGGTTTTGTCCTGGCTTGGACTGGTTAAAGGAGAACCAGAGGGGCAGCCAGCCTCTGCGATGGTTGCTGGCCGTGGATATTATGGAGTCCTTACCATTCTGAACTCCGATGATAGTAGTAGCCCTCTATGGAAGCCGCTGACTTCTGAAAACAGATGTAATAGAAGCCGGCAAAGGAAGCACCACTGATGTCTTTGATTGTGTGATCTGGAACCAGGAACTGTTCCTGCACAGATAGGGGGTTGGTCAGAAACAGATGTATTCTTGGAGTAATCCCAGAGACCTCCCTGCTAAGCATGAGGAGATTCTAAGGGCCACTTGAGGGGGAAAAAAAAAAAAAACAAACCACATAGTCTTACCCAGACTTGCTGGGTGGCAGAGGTCCTCTGGGAATCAACCTGACTTCCACACAGCACCTCTGTGATACAGAAGCATTCTACCAACTAAAGTGGCACACTATGGCATGAGCTACCTGGGACCAGCAACTCAGAGAAGCCATTTGCCCAAGCATCTAATACATAAGTCAATACCTGCCCACCTGCCCATCTACCTTTCAGAGACCACAGACAGAATGATCTACGAATTTTTTTTTTTTTTTTTTTTTTTGAACTGGGGATCAAACTTACAACCTTGCGCTTGCCAAGCAGGCACTTGTGCCACTGAGCTAACCCCCGGCCCAAGAATGACCTAAGAAGAGTAAGTTTCTGCGCTAGTTTCCAGGGACTACTACTGAATTCTTGATTACCTTCAGGAGAGTAAATCCCTTCTGTTGTTCTGTGGATTGTTCTATGGGATGACCCACTGCTAGGATCCCCGTGACACCCCCTCCAAAAGCTCTACACGTCCTCAAAGTAATTAGAGGGCTACTACTCTTTACCAGGTAAGGAAGAAAGAGCAGCAATCTGCCACCAGAGCTGGCACTAAGCATTAAAGGCTGAAAGGCTGTGTATTTGCTCCTGTTCTCCGGAGAGATTAGATCAGAAGGCTCAGGGACTCAGGAGATCAACCAAAGGCCCACTTGAGATACCCTGAGAAACGCTTTGGAGACAAACAACATCATTGCTTTAATTTTTCCTTTTAATGATGCTGAGGGGCAAACCTAGAGTATTGACATGTTAGGCAAATGGTCTACCACCAAGCTACATCCATGGACGCCCCCAATTTTATTTTTAAAGTCACTCTTCTTCTATTTATTTAATGACTAAAATGGTAGTTTTAAAATTAGTTTAATTTAGAGCTGGTGGTGTAGCTAAGTGGTAGCGCTCTTGCTTGCCTACTATGTGTAAGACCCTGCGTTGATCCCCAGCACTGGAAACAAATTGATTAAAAAAGTAGAACAAGATACATCCTTTAAAGGTTTAGTTGGCACACCTTCTCCAGAAGGCAAGTGAGAGGACAAGGCTCAGCACATGGCAGGAGTCTGCTGAAGGAGTGACGATGCCCACCCCGAGGTGATTAGTTATACAAATAAAGATCATTTGTCTTAGTGAAAGCAGGCAAGATTTCATGCTAAAACAAACTGTCTCCTAGTGATTGGACAATGAAGTTTGAAGGTGCATGGAGAGTCACTTAAGAAACCCACTGCATGATTTGTTATCCTGCAGCGATGACTATCATGCCATCAGAGCAGAGAGCACAAAGGGCTCCTTAGGCAACGGCCAAGCCATGGAGCTCTCTGAGGGCTGGTGAGAGGAAAACCACATTCCATTCCTGATCCTCCATTTCCTGAGCTATGGGAAACAGAAGGCATGGAGAAAGGATGTGGTAGAGAAGACTAGTCATTCTGATGGTATTTCAGCCTGTGCTGGGAATAGAGTTCAGTGGGTGACTAAATTCAAAGAAAGCTGTCTGGAATCTATTTCACATTTGGATGATTCATGGCTGGGGATGGTAGTACATGTTTGTAATCCCAGCACTCAGGAAGCTGAGGCAGGAGGATTTCTGAGCGTTCAAGGCCAACCTGAGCTACAAGGTGAGTTCAAGGTCAGCCTGAACTGCATAGTGAAACCCTGACTCAAAAAGAAAAAAAAAAAATTAAAAACCTAACCTTGAGTTGTGGCACATGCCTGTAAATCCTAGCACTTGTGAGGCAGAGGGAGAAGGATTGCCATGAGTTCAAGGGCAGCCTGGACTACACTTGAGTGAAATCAAGGCCATCTGAACTGTACACTGAGACCCTGTCTCAAAAACAAAACACAGGGACTGGTAATATAGCTCAGTGGCACACTGCCTTCCTGGCAAGTACGAGGTCATGAGTTTGATTGCTGGTACCAAAACAATAAAAAACAAAACAAAACAAAAAAACCCCAAAAACAACAATAAAAAAATTTTGAATGATTCATTATGGAGGTTCAAAGGGATTCTTGGGTGAGAGAGGATGGAGGAAAGATGCAAACAACACTTCCAGGGGCACCCAGGTGGGCACAAATTCCCCTCCTGACCACTAAACAGTATAACCAGACAAGCTGGCTGGGATGCTGGAGCTATGTCTGCTCTGAACAAGTACATCAAGATCCTTCCAAGAAGATGCACTATGGCAAACGGCACATAGGGAGCCCCTGGTTGGGAGGTGTGTGGTGTGTGGGGGTGCATTACAGCAGCTGCCAAGTGGGAGTCTTGGAAAACAGCCTGGGCAAGACCTTACCTTCCACCTCATGAAGACGTAATCCCCACTCTTCAGCTCTTCATAATCAAAGTCATCTGAATTAAATGATTTTGCATATTGATAAAAAGCCAGAAACTTGCCCTAAAAGCAAAATACAGAGTAGGAGAATTGATCAACAGAAGGAGTGATGGGAGTCAGAATTCATGGTTCCTAACAAGAGCAGTAACTACTGAGTAAATGAGGGAGCCTGCAGGTACCTCAGTGGACATAGTCCTGAATTTGGAGCAGCTTACTGGTTTCAAATTGAGGCACCATTGGAGTATGCCTGACTGGTGAACAGAACCCACAAAAGGCCAAAGGATAGGAACACATGTAATCCTACAGCCTTTTCTCCAGTTACCTCACCACAAACACATGAAAGTCAAGAAAAATGAGAAGAGGGCTGGGGATTTAGCTCAGCAGCATAAGAACCTGCCTTGCAAGCAGGCGGTCGTGAGTTCAATCCCCGGTACCGATTAAAATAAAAAAAAAAAATGAGAAGAGTTCTGTAAGTAAATCCACAGGAACAACAATAAAACAAATAAACAAACAAACCACAGAGGGAAGGGGCTTGTAAAGCTTGCTTTTTTGGTACAAAAAGGGTTTTGGGTCAGCTACGTGGGCAAAAATAATTAACATATGGCTAAGTTAAAAAAGATACAGCTCTGTGGCACAGTGCCTGCCTGATAAGTGCAAGGTCCTGACTTTGATTTCTGGTACAAAAAAAAAGGAGACTTATGCCAGGTAAGATGGCACACACCTGTAATCCCAGCACTTGAGAAGCTGAGACAAGAAATTTGAGGTCAGCCTGGGCTACACAGTGAGTTCAAAGCCTGTCTCAAGTACAAAGTGAGATGAACCCTGTTTCAAAAACCCAAGAAATGGGGCCAGGGATTTAGCTCAGTGGCATAAGCGCCTGCCTGGCAAAAACAAGCTCATGAGTTTGATCCCTAGTACTAAAAGAACCCAAGACGTAGACTAGAAGCTGGGCATGGTGGCATATTCCTGTAATTCCAGATACTTAGAAGAATAAAAAAGTAGAATCACTTGAGCCCAGGAAGTTTGAGGCCAGTTAGCTTGGGTATGACCTCATCTTTAAAAAAAAGAAAGAAAGAAAGAAAGAAAGCAGAAATAAGTTATAAGACTGCATCTTATGATCCCATTTTTTTTTTTTTTTTTTTATCTTTTTTTGAGACAGGGTCTCTCTATGCAGTTCAGGCTGGCCTTGAGCTCACTTTGTAGCGTAGGCTGGTCTCAAACTCGCAATGATCCTCCTGCCTCAGCCTCCTGAGTGCTGAGATTACAGGTGTGAGCCACCATGCCTGGCTTTTGATACTATTTTTGTAAAAAGAGAAAACAAAGTATATAGCTATCCCTCAATACCTGCAGAAAATTGATTCTAGGACCCGTCACATAAAATGGTATTTGCATATAATCAACATATTCTCCCATATTTTAAATTATCTAATTTACCTAAATTATCTAAATTACCTATAATATCTAATATAATGTAAATCTACGTGCATAAGTTGTTACACCGTATTATTTAGAAAATAGTGACAAAAGAAGCATACAGTTGGGTGTAGTGGCACATGTCTATGATCCTAGCATTCTAGTAGGCTGAGGCAGGAAGACTGCAAGTTTGGGATCATAAACTGCCTGGGCAACTTACTGACTTGGCAAGACCTTCTCTCAAAAATTAAAACATAGGTTGGGGTAATGGATATGTATAGTATAATGACCCCTCAGTTTAATCCCTAGTACCACCCCACCCACAACACATTTACTCTCTGTATTTAATATAGATGGCTAATTTCTCCTCCAAATATCTTTAATCTATGGTTGGCTGAATTCATGGATTCAGAAACCACATATGCACAGGGCCAACTGTATATATCCAAAAGAGATTCTGGAAAAGGTCAATGACTATGTTAGCTTTGGGTATTATCACTGTACACAATTTCTTTTCCCTTTAGTTTTTCTGTCACTTCTAAATTGTTTTAAATATGCATGTATTAACTTACTAAAAAGCAAAAAATAGTGATGAAAGTTTAAGATGGTTAAATTAATTATCCTGAGTTCATCATTACCCAGTGTATACAGGAGTCAAAAAGTCACACTAGAGATTGGGGTGTAGCTCAGTGGTAGAGCTCTTGTCTAGCATGTATGAGGTCCTGGGTTCCAACCCCAGCACCATACACATGCACGTATCACATTGTACCTCGTAAATATGTATAAACATTTGGTTTCAGTCAAGACTTTAAAATTAATTCATTTGTAAAAATCTGGTCCTCGGAGTTGCGGATACTCGCCTGCCTGGCAAGTGCTAGGTCCTGAATTCAATTCTTTGTACAAAAAAAAAAAAAAAGAAAAGAAAAGAAAAAAATCTGGCTCTTGGTTTAATTCACCACACATACACACAAATCAAGACATCTACACATTTTTGGGGGGAGTGTATTTGAGGCAGAGTTTCACTATGCAGTTCAAGTTACTGATTATTTCTCTTTCAAAGAAGGTCATAAGGGTTAGATACTCCCATGATAAAAAGCAAGTATCAAAATGACATTTTGAACAATAGTCTTTTGGGGAGTGTGTGTCTGTGTATATGTTCACGCACTTATGTGAAACACTTGGGATGGAATTCAGGGCCTTGATACTAAGTAATTACTGTGTCACTAACCAGCTCACTTTAACATTTTGAAGAGAAAGAATCAAGCAGTGAAGGACAGCTAGCTTATTTTTTCACCTGTGTGCAGCCTAGGCTCAAACTTGCAGTGATCCTCTTGCCTCAGCTTTCCAAATGTTGGAATTATACGCATTTGCCACCATGCTTGGTAAAATATAGACAAATTAACTCACAAATTTTGTACATATATTCTAAAAAGACTACATATATAATTTTTTTTTTTTTTTAGAATTGGGAATCAAACTCAGGACCTCGCACTTGCCAGGGAGGTGTTGTGCCACTGAGCTACATCCTGGCCCTAGGATCTTGCTTTTATAGTACTACTATGATACCAATTTTAAATATCACTCAAAAAACTTTGAGGGTGTAACACCATGTCTCTGATTCTAATTTACAATGGAAAAATGATACCAGAGGTGAAGTCTATTAAGCACTGTAAACTTCAAACAAATGGGGTGCAGTATGGAACTCCAAGAGTCTCACACAGGCACCTGGATCTCCTCTATGAGTTGAGAAAATCATGGGAAATGCTCAGTGAACAGCAGCCAGAGTGCTGGAGAAGGAAACATCCTTTGGGCCCAGCTCCTTCATCCTACCATGGTTATAGGTAGGCTCCTTCATCCCTCTTCTTTTTTTTGCAATGTAATACAGGCTGGCCTTGAGCTCACTATGTAGCCCAGATTGGCCTCAAACTCACAGTGATCCTCCTGCCTCAGCCTCCTGGCACTGGGATTACAGGTGGGCAACACCACTCCCTCATCCCTCTTACACCCCAAACATTTCAATTCAGTCTAATGAAGGGTAAAATCCCAGATATAGTCCAATGTTCTACTGGAGGCCAGTGGGAAAGCTAAAAGATGATGCCTCCATATATTAATCTGTAGACACCTTAGCCTAACACCAAGTTGCCATTGATCCTCACAGACTTGCCTTTTGCAGGGTTAATTTGAAATGGCAAACAAAACTGCATGGTTCACTGTGAAGAAGAATTTTCAACACAGCTGTCCAGGACAGGAAGGGGCCACTTGATGACGTATATGTGGTGGGGTCAGGAGTGGTACAGGCAGCATCCAGGAGCCTTCTAACTCTGATTCTGACATTTGTCATGTGCCACTGGACTGCCCCGACCTTTTGCTTCTTGGATCTCATCTATTCTCTTGTATTATGAAGACATACAAATCACTGTCTATGTTTTGGTGTATATTTGAAATTATAGACAAAACATGTAGCTTTCAGAAAAATGTTTTTAAAAGCTCAAACTTAAATTTAACTGAAACTCAGTATTTTTGAAACACTAGTAAGCACAGCAGTAATCCACAGCAAAGCTTACTCAGACAAGAGCAGTGAGTATACACATAGACAATGGTGCTGGAATCAGGAGGGTTTAAATAGCCAAGCACAAGGAGTAGCAGGAAAAATGAGTTCTAAAACCTTCTTTAGGGACACAAGTTATTTCATAAAGAGGGAATTTCTCTGTGTTAAACCAAAATTCACTGTCACTATGGTTGATTAAGCCAAAAATTGTTATGCTAGGTTGAGAAATAGATTTCTAAAGACATAAGACTTGGGTAACAACCAGGGAAAAGAGACAATAACCGAGACAATAACTCTTAAATTGTCTTTAAGGATTCACTACCAGGGAATAAGAATCCTCCATGCTTGACAGTTGAAAAGAGGGACACCTGGAGTTGGCAGTGGTGTCTAGATGGTCCTGTCCTCCTTGGGTAACTGTGAGCAGTATTTCCATTTCAGGCCAATCCAAAATTAGGGACATGATTTTCCCAAGTAGAGGTGACTAAGAAGGAACAGGGGACAGACACATGGGAAGGACAAATATTGCTGATTCTGAGAGCTATGCAAGTTGTGAGTGGAACTTCAGGGAGTGGCTATCACCAGATAACTATATCTACTTAGGAGGAGGATCAGGCAATATATGAACTTGCTTCAGGAGGAAGACAGAAGTTGGGTGTGGTGGCACAGGCCTTTAAGCACTTGGGAGACTGAGGCAGAAAGACTGCTGCAAGTTCAGGGCCACCGTAGTTATATAGTGAGTCCACGGCCAGCCTGAACTACAAAGTGAGACCCTGTCTCAAAAACGAAAACAGAACAAAACAAAACAAAAAAACCCCAGAAGACACAGCAACGCAGGTTTATATGTTGGAAATAACTTCCCTTTGGCTGGAAAGTCCTGAATAACACCCAGTAAGGGATGAGGTCTCTGGCTCCTGGCACTTCTCCGTTTCCCACAAGTCCCTGGATCCCAGAGCATAGCGGAGCCTCACTCACCCAGTGTTTCCGATCAACATCTTCATCTGCATCCCACTTGCGAGTTAAAAAAGGGTGTTTTTTGCTGATTATTTCTCCTTCAAAGAAGGTTGTAAGGGTTGGATACTCCTATGGTAAAAAGCAAATATCAAAATAAGATGTTGAACAATAGTCTTTTTGGGAGTGTGCGTCAATGTGTGTGTTCATGCACTTATGTGCAACACGTGGTATTCCAGGGCTTCCTGCATACAAAGTAACTGCTGTACCACTAACCAGTTCACTTTAACTTCTCTCCAATGCTTTGAGACAAAGCTGATCACACTGCTAACAGCTTAAACCAGAGTTAGATCCAAACTACGGAAAAAAATCTGAATTTAAATTTCTTGGATAGTGGAAAGTCTCTTCAACTCTGAGGACTTTTCCAGAGTACAGAATCCTTCTCTGGTCTAAGCTGGTCTCTCAAAAGCAAACTGGATGATTTTCACAAGTGAACTCTGCATTCTAGCATAGAAAGCAAATCACAACTTTGTAGAATATACTTTCTAAAGAGAATACTTAGTGATACCCTAGAACCCCAATGCTGACAGCTAAGTCTCCCTCAAACCTCAAACCAGCCCACTTGCTCTCACACTATAGTCCCTTTATATCTGTCTGTTTTATACCAATTCTTGAAGTTTTTGGGATTGGAAAAAAATTGTTGGGTGTGTGTGTAGAAATACCTTGGATGTGCTAGAGACACATTTAATTCTATTCTATGAACTACAAAACAATTTATGTAGGAGAAATATATAAATCATGTCTGTAATATGAAATCTCAGCCATTAAAAATATGCTATTTTAAAAAATAAGCTGTTATTCGCTGCTTGGAATACTGCTAATTTTGTTATTTTTTTCATGTGCCAATAAATGGTACCAAAGATATAGAGAAAAATTAACGAGAGAAAAACTTAGTAACATTAAAAAGTCTACCTTTGCCAGGTGTGGTGGCACATGCCTGCAATCCCAGTACTCGGGAGGCTCAGGTAGGAGGAATTTAAGGCCAACCTGAACTATACAGCGAGTCTCTGTCTCAAAAAAAAAGATCTACCTTTTACTTGCATTTGTCACAAACAAACAAACAACTAAATGATCCGTCACTTGTCCAAAGCCTTGGATTTTTCTTGTTTTTTTTTCCTTCTTTTCTTTTTTTTTTATTTAAAGAGAGAAGAAAAAAAAAAAAGGACATAAAAAAAAAACAATGCAGTAAAAGGGTACAAATAATACAGTATTTCTAGAAAAAAATATATACAGTACGAAATCACCAGTTAATAGGTTACATATTATCTTCCCAGAAACAGTTGTCCATATCACTAAATTAAAGCATATAAAGTGAACATTCATACAGTGAAATTGGAGACAGTTCCATTCAATGATCCAACAAAAGCTCAGTTATATAGTTTTCCATCCTACACACTTGAACATACCTGCGGTTATATTCCTTAGTCCACTTTACTTTCCTCTCTTTTTTACAGTAACAATTAGACTTTTAGGGTTTTATTATTCTCACGGTTCTTGTTACTTTTTTGAAGAGAAAAAAACCAAATGTGACTAAGCAAAACAGAGTCAGTTAGAACAGAAGGGTGGGCATAGCACGTGATACAAAAATAGAATACCAGGTGATCAAAAGTAGTTACCATTGTGTCTCTTGCTATTTTTAAATTGAGTTGTCTATATCATCAGGTACAATAGAATTGATCAAAACAGTACAGAACAAGACCAATAAAACCTACACTGAGGACCTTACAGGACTTCAAAAAAAAAAGGATAATAGTCAATCCATATTGGGCATCATAGTATATCTTATTAAGGCCTTGGATTTTTCAAAAGCATGGCTTACCAGTGACTGGCCTAGAAAACACAAAGTTCCTGGGTCTACAGAGTCCTACTTCCTCTTCTAGATTTTACGTAAGCACCTCCTCACCCCCACCCCGAACTGGGGATAAACCCATGGTGCTCTACCACTGAGCTACATTTCCAGCCTTTTTTATATTTTAATTTGAGACAGACTCTAAATCATCCAGGGTGGCCTCAAACTTCTGATTCTCTTGCTTCATATAGTAGTCAGGATTATAAATCCTGGGGATGGTACTCAGGGTCTTACAGATGCAAGGCAAGTACACTGTCACTGAGCCATTATCCTCATCCCAATTTAAGCACATCTTACTTTGCATCGAACATATTTAAAATAAATCCATCTGATGGCTTTGCTACTGCTCCCAGCTTGGCCTGCACATGGCTCAGGACTTTGCTAAGAGGCACTGCATCAGTACCCTCTGGCTCAAGGCCTTTGGGAAATAAAACACTGCCACCAAGCCTGAAGTGACTAAAGAGGCCTGCTTCTCCCCGCCCCAGGGATTAAACTCAGAGTCTTCTTACTGAGCTACATTCCTAGCCATGTATGTAACTGTGTATGCATGTATATAAGTATATACATATATATAATATATATGTGTGTGTACTTATTATTTGAGATAGGATAATCACTAAGTTGCTGAACTTCCAGCTGGGTTTGAATTTGCAGTCTTCTTGCTTCAGCCTCCCAGAGTTCTGGAATTACAGATGCGTGTCATCATGCTTGGCAAGAAGCCTGACTTATCTCACCACCTCTCAGCTACACTTCCAACCCATCATCCTGTTTTCTTACAATGAACTAACTTCTAATCTAATGCTAAATCTAATGCTCTTCAAACTAACAAACCCCCTCAACTTAATGGCATTGCTAGATTCTTCATGTTGGTATTTATATATACAGAGTAAAAAATAAGAGAAGAAATTTCTTTGAAACCTAATTTTTAAGTCAAAGCTAAGTTATATTAATCTGTCTTTAAGGACACTAACAAAGTTTTATATAAGCCAGTACCTGACTTGAAATTTTAAACTAACAGCTATGTATATTGTTTTCCTGAGTTTTGAGCTTTAATCATTTTCAGAATTTCTGCCAAAGGGATAGGAGAACAAAGTGGTCCTAATATAATTGGAATATTTATGGTTTAAACCACTAGCTTTCCCAAGTAATGATTCCTCCAAAATATTTTAGGCAATGTATCAGGGTGACCAGAAGGTACCTCAGATCTTGACAATGAATAAAATAAATGGCTAGTGAGTAAGATTCAGGGCAGTATGTGCAGAAATCACCAAGAAGATAAAATATTTCTCAGCGTTGGCACAAGAAACTCAAGCACTTGACTACAGTAGTTAAATTTGGGACAATTTACATGGCAGGAGAAAGAAAGATATTAGAAAAATAAGCCAGAGGGGGACAGTTCTAGCCAGCCAGCACTCCCTACCCCCATGCCCACTGTTCCTATGCTGAAGCCACTAAAGTCATCAACTAGCTTCTCTCACTGACTCCAGGTTCACCCCAAACTGTCCAATAATGGCTACCTTGACTTTTCATGCTGACCTGTCTTCTGGGAAATTTACATTTATTTGGCCAGTAACCTCATTCTGAGAGGGAACACACATATCTGTTCATACACTGATTTCTTGTGAGTGAAGCTATTGTGACCTGTCTCCCTGTTTTCAAACAAATCTAACATAACTTCTTGGAGCTTTAAATCCATCTAAGGACTAAGTGGAGGGCCTGACCATGAATCCCCAATGCTGGGCTCCCAGAAACCAGCCAGCTGGCTGAGCTCCTGAGAAAGGCCCTCTCTGCCAGCTCAAAATATAGTACGAAGAAAGTGTTATTTAATACCTATTCCTTACAATTTTGGAATCTCATGTTTAAAAAGCACACAAACTTTAAAGCTGTGCTTTGTGAATGTGAGGAAAATTATCTCCAACTTCACTTTTAATAGCTTACATTGAATGTCTGAGTATGACAACTATCATGACTAAAACCAAACCACTTACACACACAGTTTAATTCAAACAAATTACACATTTGATATTTTAACAGTTTTAAATGAGAAAACAAAGAAAATAAATCATACAGGTACAAAATTCATGCAAAGATTCATATTGGTTTTCTGCACTTCACTATCTACAAGAACCATATTAGATATATGATTTAAAATCATATCAAATAGTTGTATAACTCTGTGAATATACAAACAACTAATGAATTATACACTTAGTTGTATTCGATGCTGGGGATGGAACCCAAGGCCTCTCACTTGGTAGGCAAGTGCTTTTTTTTTTTTTTGGTGGTACCAGGGATCAAACTCACGACCTCACACTTACCAGGCAGGCACTTATGCCGTTGGGCTAAATCCCCAGCCCTAGGCAAGTGCTTTTACATTGAATTACATCCCCAACCACTGAATTGTATACTTTAAATGGGTGCATCATATTGAACTATATCTTAAGAAAGCTACTAAAAAGTTATTTAAAAAGAAGAATTCTAATTATTCTGAGACCTGGACAGGAATTCCAGGAAACCCCAGGCTTCAGCTAAATGCCTAGCAGTAGCATTACTGAGCCCATGTTGGCCTGTGGTGGACCACCTGTGTGGAGAACAGGTGCCCACAGAGTCCACTCTCCCTGCAGCCCATGAACAGGACAGGAGCAAGAGTCTCTATGGTTGTCAGGAGCTCAGGACTTCCCAAAGATCAGCTTCCATAAAGGGCTATGTCAGCACCCACTCCTCAAGGAAGCCCCACTGCTTATCATACCTCAGAGGGGGTCCCCCTAGTAAGTGTTGGGAGCCGCGGCCTACACCGGTCGCCTTACTTGGCGGACGTAGGGCCTGTGGGTGGGAGCGGAGCCTGAGCTAGATTGCCCCTCCCATCGAGTGAGTCAAGTTGGCGCCTGCTTCCTGCCCCCTGATTGCACTGGCGACTTGCTCTGTAAGATAGTCTGCCTAGCAACAACTGATGTTAGCCAATCAGCCCGCATCGCGCGCTTTAAACTGATTGGCCACTGTTACCCTATAAAAGTAAATGCCTCTCCCGCCACAAGAGAGAAGCACAGAGGAAGCACAGAGAGAGATAGAAAAAGTCCACCGGCGAAAAAGGGCTGGTGGCAGAGTGGAGGCCTCGCGGGGCCCACGCGGAGACAAATAAAGGCAAGGTTACACACCGCCAGACTTTGTCGTGTGTCTTTCCTGCCGGCCGGGAGCGACATCGACAAGTAAGGGCAACCTACTCCCAATCACGAGCATTTCTGCACCGTTTCAAGATTTCTAATGCTACTTACCATTTCTGTGCAGCTTCCTATAACCCAAATGACAGGCTTTGGAGTCAGTGTTAGCATTCCAATGCGTTATACATTTTGTTGGTTTCCTTATGAAGTTAAATGTCTATGCTCTGCACTCCATTAAAAATGTATTTGGATGCCTTAAGAGTTGAGCATATTCTGTTTTACTATGTTTTCTCCTACAACAAACCCAAAGGTTAGAATCCTTTATTTTGGTATCATTTTCTTCTTTTACCTGACTAGTTATGTTTCTACAGATGAAGATAATGACATTTGTCTCAACAATGAAGCTTATAAGAACCCTCAATCTAGCTTCTAATATATAAAAGTGGAGGGCTTAGGGGTATGGCTTGATGGTAGAACACTTGCCTAGCATGGAAAAGACCCTGGCTCTTTTTATTATTAATATTACCATCATTGTTATTATTTTTATTTTGAGATAAGGTCTAAGTGACCCATGCTTGCTTTGAATTTGTGATCCTCCTGCCTCAGCCTCCTGAGTAGCTGGGACCATAGACATGGACCATCACAACTAGTCACAACACATTTTACAGATGAGGAAATTGAAATGAAGAGAAATTAAGTCATAGAACTGATAAGGGGCAGAACAAGAAGGTTGCTATCTAGCACAGTTTAATACTGCTGGGATCATTAAGAATATCAGAAGTGCTAACAGGCCACAGGACGCTGCAGCAGGCTCACATCCACACACCCATAACAGAGCTCAGTGGCCAGGTCAGCCCTCTCCCTCCTCTTCCTGTTTACCATTAATGGAAAAGGGATGCTCCTTTTTGCCTTCTAAATCTCAGGAGTTCTGATGTCTTAAGAGCTGGGTCAAAGGAAGGAAAATTCTCGTATACAGACTACCAAGTTGGAAACCAGACAGTCATTTTTCATTGTTCTGATGTAATGAATTTCTTATATAATTGATGCTTATTTCACAGACTGTTAAACTTATAAGCGAGGAAGCCATATTCTTATCCCCTTTTTTATTTTTTAATCTTCCAAAAGGGTTAACACCCAAAGCAATAGCATTGATCACACTGTGACATATTTACATTTTTCTTTTTTTGATACTGGGAACTGAACTCACAACCTCGTGCTTGCCAGACAGGCACTGTGCCACTGAGCTGTATCCCCAGGTCTACACTTTCCTTTAGATTTGTGAAGAGGAAAGATATAGTCCAGTGGTAGAGTGTATGCTTAGCATGCATGAGGCAGGCACTGGGTTCCATCTTTAAGGTCAAGGGGGAAAATTTTTTGTGGATGTGCTACTTCCTAAGAAAGACACATCAAAGCTGCAAGCTTTATGCTTTTGACATAACAATGCTTAAAACATTATTGGAATTGCCTGTCCTCAACTCTATGGGACTGTGATGTGGACCACCCACCTCTTGGTTCAGACTCATGTGGTGTGTGCTTACCTCAGTAAGGCCTTTAATCTTCAGGTACCCACAAAGGTAAGAGTTCCCTGTGTCCACATGCTGAAAAGAAGACACAAAAACTGTTACAAATGGATGAGCCCATTGTGGGTACACTGGGGGTACTGTGGAAATCCTGCAAGCCAGGCTGGGTCAGGAAGGCCTAGTAGTCAGCGTATACCCAGCTCAGCCCCAGGCTCTCTCGGACGTGGACCTTCACAGGTACTCTTTGTGCATGAGCCTGTTTTGATGATGTGATCTGATTTCAGAACCCTCAATTTCTTTCAGCTGTGCAGTTAGAAACTGAAGTTTTTTTCTGGAACGGAAAGCCCACTTGAACCTCAATTTTTCTACTGTCTTTAACACAAATCTCCCACTCATCTATAGACTGTGCATTGTTGGACACAAAGTCTCTCTTCTACCTGCATACACGGTGTTATCCCTAACCTTGGGCTTTTCTTTTCAATGTTTCTGAGCCATATCAGTTTTCCTGGTATTCAATCACTGTGTCTAGGAAATCTATTGCCCTATTATTTATACTAAGCAGCACCATGCAGTCTTTCTTTATGAAACGAGCAGAATATTCAAGAATGACATTTTATGAAATTATATGGTATAAACTTTACTATGAACCAAAATACCAAACAAAACTGACTATATTGTCAATGTCTGCTCTGTCCACTTCATATACAGATGCTTTGTGTTTTTAAATGAAGAGTCAGGCGCTGAAAATAGGAATAACAGGCACAGTAGATTTTGAGGCTTAGTGGACACCAATTATTGGTTGCTGAGGCACTGCTGATGCCTATGACCAATGTCCTCTTTTTCCATACTGGCGGGGCTGGGTTTTATTCTGGCACCTACTCTGCTGTGTAAGATGATCCAACTTTGATGGATTTCAGGCAAACACAGACCTCCAATTCCTTGGGAGTCACTGGTTTAGGGGAGAGTTAAGACCTAGTTCTAGCCAACGAGATATGTGCGAGTATTCTGGGTGTGCCAGAGAAGGATCTCTGGTGTGTGAAGATGCACAAAGGGAAAAATGGTTTCTTCCTTTCTCTGGCAGTGGCAGTATCTGAATGTAGTACCCAGCCCCAGTTGGTTATCAGAAAATCAAAGGAGAAACAGGCAAGGAAATGCTGAGGATGGCAGGCCAGAAAGATGGAAGTAAGTAGGCCTATCACAGATCTCTTAACTAACCAACCAAGAATCACTTCACCTTTAGATTCCTCCTAATATGAGGTAATTGGTTCAATTACATTGTAAGCTGTTTTGAAATGTAAAATATGGTTCCTTGCAGATGAAACCACATTCGCCAGTACACAGAACTCTGAATAGGCAGTTTCCAGGTCCATGACTTAAATTGAATCCCAGTCATGAACTCAGAAACTCTGTCTACTAGCCAGGTGTGGTGGCACATGCCTATAATCCCAGCACTCAGGAAGATGAGGCAAGAGGATTGTTGCAAGTTTGAGACCAGTCTGTACTACAAAAGTGAATTCAAGGCCAGCCTGAACTGCATAGTGAGACTCTATCTCAAAGACAAAAAAAAAAAAAAAAAAAAAAAAAAAAAAAAAAGAAGAAGAAAGAAAAAAAACTCTGTCCACTATGAACTAAAGCCAAAAAATAATTGGAAAATAAAAAATTCAGTGGTACCTGCGGCATACAGATTCTTAAGTGAGGTCTCATTTCAGGAAACTAGAAAGGTTTTGGGGATTTATTACATTTGGAGGGCTGGGGATTTAGTTCAGTGGTGTAAGTGTTTGCCTGGCAAGCCCAAGGTCGTGAGTTTGATCCCTGGTACAAAAAAAAAGAAAAAAAAAATTTGGAAACTGACTACTCCAATTACACCATAATCCAAATACTAAGGCAGTCCTTATAAGCTGTAATGAATTTAGTCAGCCAGATGATGTCAGCACCAAAGAAACCTGGTTTTCATGAAGCTAAAGCTTGGTGCTGGTGATAAGGGTATTCCATGCAAAAACTGCCAAAGTATTTCAGATGTCCTCATCTGCTGATCTTTGCATTAGATATTATGGAAAACAGCTGATCTACACCAACATGGCTCAGCAAAGAACTTTTATTAAAGGACACATGGTTCTAACCTGAGGCCTTAAATTTCATGTATGCAATTCTCATTAAATTCAATGAAGTTTGGGGTTTCACAGTTCCCAGAAAGGGTATCAGGTGGCAGGCATACTTGCTAATAAGATTAAAAACTGAACTGTAAATTGGATCAGATTTGCATGGATTATCACATACTCAAGAATCAGAATTTCTGTTTGGCCTCTGTTCAACCATCTCTTACATCTTGCCCAAACTGATTTTGGTATTAGTGATGAACTCAAATTACCCGCCATTGCATACAGCGTTAAGGAAAAAAGGGGTGCGCATCTCAACGAGAAAGACAAGGCAAACGTTTAGCAAGGAGGTCTCACAGCACAGCTGTGTCCTACAGCTGCTCTTTTAAATATTCTTTTCACAGAGATCCAGGCATGACTCTGCTGGTGGCTTCTGGGGTGGTAGAAGGGGAAAGAGTAGTCAAAGTAATGGGGTTGGGGAAACCCAGTCAAAACCCCCCAAAGGTTTGAGAAATTCTTTACATCTAAACATCAAAACACAAAGTATCAAAAAAGCACAAGAAAATATGCACATCATTAAAAGATGCACCAGGAAAATTCAAATTAGCGACCATAATAAGATACTACTTCATACCCACCAAGATAGCTACAAACAAAAGATGAACAACAGCAAGTGTTAGCAAGAATATGGAAAAGCTGGAACCCTGAGATGTTGCTGGTAGAAATGTAAAGCAAAGCGGCTACTTTAGAAATCACTAGGTAGTTGAGTGGAACGTTGAACAGAGTTACCATATAACCCAGCAATTCTATTACTAGGTATCTATCTTCCCCAAAAGAGTGAAAGCACATATCCATGTAAAAAACCTACACACAAGCCAGGCATGGAATGTACCTGTAGTCTCAGCATTCAGGAGGCTGAGGTAGACTTAAGCTTCAAGGTCAGCCTTAGGCTTAAGTTCAAGGTCAGCCTGAGCAATGCAGAAACCTCATCTCAAACACAAACATGCACAAATAAAGCATTATCCCTAACAGTCAAAATGTGGCAAAAAACCCCCAAATGTCCATAAAATGATTAATAGATAAAGTGTTGTATATTCATACAACAGACAAGAGTTATACTGCATGATATAACAATAAAAAGGAATGATATGGATAAATCTTGATACTATGCTTAAAGAAGCCAGTCGCAAAAGGACAAATACTGTAAGCTTTTATTTACATGAAATAGCCAGATAGGGCAAAATTTTTAAAAAAGAAAAATTAGCAGTTCCCTAAGATTGGAGGTGGATGACAGCTAAAGGATGTCACAATTTCTTTCTTAGATTAAAATGTTCTAAAATTGGGTTATGGTGATGTACAACTCTACAAATACAATACAAACTACTGAAGTGTATACTTTGAATATGTAAGTTATACTCTGGGAGACTGAGGCAGCAGGACAGAAAGTTGGGCAATTTACTAACTTAATGAGACTCTGTCTCAAAAAATTAAATTAAATTAAAAAGGCTAAGGATATAGCTGAATGCAAAGGCTCCTTCAATCCCCAGTATACCACAAAGATAAACAAACAGTATGATATGTGAATTACACCTTAATAAAGGTGCTTAAAGGAAAGAGAAAATGCAAGCAGGAAGGAAGCTGAGTTATGAAAGACAAGAAAAATAATCTAAGAAAGGCAGTGTAAGAAACTAGTCTTAGCTGAAAAACAAGATGATGGGGCAATTCACATGCCTTTGACTAGTTGCAATGATGAATAAGGAGCGTACCCATCCAGATGTAGGGCTGCATTCCTTACTATGAGTCCTCTGCTCCCCCAATCAGATTTAAATGGCTTTCAGCCATTGGCCAGGTTTCTGCTCTGGGCTGCCTGACACCTACCAGATGTGATCCAACTCAATCATTGCTTCTACTGGTTCACAGGGAGACTAGTACCTGACAAGAGTTCAAAAATAACATACTAATGATAGAAGGGAGTAGTTGCAGTAACCAGGGCAGATTTCCCTTTAATGCCTAACTAGCCTACTCCATGGTAACAGGTACAAATTCAGGACAGTTCCAAACGTAACTGACCCAGGGATCTCACTTCTAGAATTTTACGAATAGTTCAATTAAAAAAACAAACATGTCTAACCTTTATGTTAGATTCTCATATTTTAAGCAAAAAAAAGAGCATCACCACATTAGTCGTAAGCCCTGAATTATCTTAGCCATAATTTTTCAGTTCCAATTAATATAATAGCTCATAGTTTATAGATGATAGAGTTAATGAGAGGTTGTAGCTTTCCCAATCAAAACCAGAGAAAACTCCCCACAAATCAGTGAGAAAAAAGGGGACTTAATTATGCTCTCCACTTAGCATATAGCAAAGACCAACCCCATTATGGGGAGAGACCTACTTGTTCAGAAGACACTAATATTTAAAGTTAAAAAAAAAAAAAGACAAAAAATGATCATGAAGAACATACACAATGCACATTTTACTCTTACATTGGGGAGCAGAGAGGCATCATACAGGACTTCTAAGCTTCTAGAAGGCCTTTCTACATACAGGTGTTTGGAGGAACTTTGGGGAAACAGTCCAGGAAGTTGTGTTGGAAAAATGGGCAGATGGAAGGGGAAAATGAGTCAGGGAGTGTTAAAAGAAACAGAGGCCAGGGATTTAGCTCAGTGGCACAAACACTTGCCTGGCAAGCACAGTGTCCTGAGTTCCAAAAGAAAAAAAACTGAGAGAAAGTTTCGTGGGGAAGGGAGATAAAAAAGGAATATCCACTGTCAATCTCCTCTGGCTGGGTTAAAGGGTCAAATGTGCTACCATTTGGGTGAGAGAAATGAGGTACTGAAAAAAGGCTCCAACAGGTAGTTCTAAAGCTGATCAGAGACAGGCAGTAGATACTCAGAAATACAGGTCAAACAGGAGGCGGTCAATGGACACAACATAAAACTGGTTAAGTTAGATTTCCCAGAATGTGGGTATCAGAGACTGGAAGGAAGCCCTGTGCCTGTGCAGATAAAAGTTAAAAAAATGAAAGATCTCTTTGATCCAGTAATAAGCTAGATGAAGGTATAGGTAGGGAAGTCTACGAGGAGGCCAGGGAGACTTGGAGCCTAAGGGAAGAGGGCGACAGTGCAGAAAAGGGAGTATGAGAAGCCTAGCGCAGGAGGGCGGGGGTGAAGGCAGCTGGGTGCTTGGACCAGAGAGTGAAGCAAGCGACAGTACTGAGGCGGGGGTCCCAGGAAATGGGATACTAACAGACTACGAGAAGCTCCACTCTGTGGCACCCAGGATACAAGTATTTGGTTTCAGGAGGAGCCAGAGACTGAGGGATGGTTGGCGGGGTGGGGCGGTGGGGAGTGGGAGTGGGGTGGTGTCTCAGCCAATGGAAGCAGTATGTTCCTAAATCTTAGAAGGCTGATGAGTCTCCCTTGGAGGAGGAAGGGCCCAAGGACTGAGGATAAGATTATGTCGCAGGTCTAGGAGAATGTGAAACAGACCCAGTCACGGGAGGGTCCCGAGTCTGAAGACACCAATGGAGAGTTCATCAGGTCTGAGAGGGAGCGATTGGTGGGAGCACTGGTGTAGGGGCGACAGGTCTTGGGGTGGACGAACCAGGCCAAGACACGGCCATTCAAGGGGAGGGGAGCTTCCGGATCCCGGGTGGACAGGTCAGGGGTTTCAGTTCTGGTGCAGTATTCGGGGTTAGCCAGGAGCCGGCCACTGCAGGCTCTGGGTCTGGGGGCCAGGTTAGGGCTGGGGGTCCAAGAGTGTGAGACACCAGCTGGGCAGGTCCCGGGTGGGAGGCGCCGGTGCAGGAGGCCTCGGCAGTGAGGGCCTGATCCGCGGCTACGGGCTCCAGGAGCCGAGGGCGGGCACGGCCCGTGAACGCCGCGAGGAGGCCCTCGGGCTCCGGACCGGCTCAGCCCGGCGCTCACCTGCAGCACCACCTCTACGTCGTACGAGTTCCCCTTGCTCTTCTGGTGGCCGCGGAACTTGGAGCCGCTGTAGAGCAGGCTGGTGGCCACGCCGGGCTGCTGGGTGTTGATAGGCGGCGGCGGGATGAGTGAGGCCGCGGAGGCGGCCGACGCACCGGCCGGCGGGGGACACTCTGTGCGGACCGGCATCGCGGGGTCCCCCGGAGCCAGGGCTAGGGGAAGGGGGAGAGGAACCGCTGCTGCCGCGCGGGAGCCGAAGAGGGTGGCCGGGAGGGAGGCGTCGGGGCGCGCACGCGCGAGGTGGGGGCGGGAGGGCTGACCACCCGCCCTCTGCCTGCGGACCTAGCGCTCGGGCCGCCACCGGGACCCCGGGACCTGCGAGAAGGGCCTCCCAGTCCTGAACTGGGTCCCCCTCCCCACTTGCCCTCGCACACACACCACTCCTTTCGATTGGCTCGGACGCGCCGGGCGGGGCGGGAGCAGTTTCACGCGGCGCTTCCGCCCATTGGCGGGCGGAGAAAACTCGTGGCGGGGAGCGCGAGAAGGCCTCTGGAATTTGTAGTCTTCTTCCCGAGGGCGGCGTGGAGGGGCGGGGCGAGACGCATTTGTGATGCTGATTGACTGGGGGTGTGCGCAGGGATGCGCAGCGGCGACGGCGCGCCGGAGGTGTCATGAGGAAGATGGCGGCGTCCAGGGGAGCTTGAGGGCTGTGGGGAGGTACTGTCAGGTTTCCGTACAACTCGAGCGTGCTGTTTCCTGCGCTTGGTGTCTCTCACCGCGCGTCCTCCCAGGTCCTCAGGCGCCATGTGGAGGAGCTGCCTTCGGCTGCGGGACCGGGGGCGCCGTCTCCTAACTTGGCCCCCGGGTGACCCCACCGCCTCCGCAAGTTTGAGGCTGCCCCTACAGTCTCCAGCCCGGGCCTACGCGCCACCGACAGGTGAGGCCTGAACACGTTACCTTTTGGCCAGCGGCTAAGCCGGGCTGAGCTGAGCTGTAGGTTTCGGCCGTGCAGTTCAGAGTGGACTCAGGCCAACGAGATTATTTAGGCCGGCCTTATGAAGGACTGTTACAGATGGTATAGTGAAGCCTAGACAGGGTCGATCCGAGAGAGAGAGGGCGTTTGGCCCATGCGGCTTTTCTCAAAACCTCCAGCATCTCTCTCTTCAATAAGGGAGGCAGATGTCTTCCTTGTTTTCAGTAGAAGAAATCCGGGCTCCAGATTAGGACTTCCAAGGTCACAGGGTAGAGGACAAACGCAACACTCTCCTAATGCTTTGCGCCCCTGGTACCCACCCAGCACAAGACCTGGGACGGTGGGAGCCTGCCTTAACTCTCTCTCATAACGTGCACTTTCTCGGCAGGTTTCCAAGCTCTGTATCTTAATGACCTTGCAGAACTCTTGTCTTCTCTGGACCCTTTTTTCCTGAGTGGGAGTTGACACCATGCCTCCTTTGTCCACCTATGACTGTGATGAAGCCTCAGAAACAGTAGTGGCTCTTTCATTGCTGCTAGAGAGAGACTTTAGGATAAGAATAAGAGTGACTTACTCCAGTGAATGAAAAGTAATGACATTTTCCTGCCATTCAGTTAGTTTTGCTCTCTGCTGGGACAAGATGCACAGTGGTCTTCAAGATTGATGCAGTCCCTAGCTGAATGATATTCACGGGCAAATGCAGAAGATTATATGCTGACCAAATGATACTTTATAATAATACGTACTGTGATATGGGAATTACAGAGAAGCTTGTAAGAATACAAAATAACATCCATTTCCATCATAGGAGTTCAGGATCTAGAAAGGATCTTGAACAAAAGGGCATTTTAAGCTGGGCCTTGATAGATGAATGAGAGATCAGTGGTGAGGAGGATGAATTATAGGTAAATGCATGTCCAGAAGTGACAGCAAGGTGTGAGAGACTTTTGCCATAACGTTGCCACTTTAGGAAATTCAGAACTCTACAGGCAGTCTGGCATTGTAGCAGGAGTACCGATCTGGGATCTGGTGTTGAATGAACCTGTGAGGGCAGCGATCTTGGGCCCATACCTACTTCATTTTCTTTTGTGAATTGAAGTTCATGTTGCTTGAGAGGATCCTTTTGGCTAAGTTCCATAATTCTATATAAATAGGGAAGAGGTTGGCTGTAGCAGGGAGACAAGTGAAGAGGTGGGACATGAAGAGCCAGTAAAGAGGAAAAAGAAATGGATCTGATGTTGAGCTCCTGTAGTTCCAGCTACCAGGGTGGAAGAGGTGGGAGATGGGAAGATCACTGGAGACTTGAAGTCTGAGGTCAGCCTGAGTGATTTGGTGAGACCTTATCTCAGATAAATTGGGGGTGGGGAGAGGAAGAAAGAAAAGGAAGGAAGGAAGGAAGGAAGGAAGGAAAAAAGGAAGGAAGGAAGGAAGGGTGCATCCTGGGGAGACAGTACAAGCAAATGTACGTATTAAGAAGTTCACCAACTTGGCACAAGCAAAGGGTTAATTTAGGTGAGTGTCTGTTTGCTTTTCTCCTGGTGGCACTTAATCTAACCAAATTCTTTTCCTGTCTATAACAGATTTGTAGTTTATATTTTAGGTTCTAGGAATGTATGAATGTATGAACGAGGTGCTGTGTGAAAACATGCCTATATCAGACCTTGTGCTCTACAAAGACCTTAACCAGTTGTGAGATTTTTATGTCTTTGGAGTGGAGAATGATTAAATCTAAGTGGGTCCTTGATGAAGACTTTCATTGGCAACTGATTGAACTTATTCTCTTATGAATGGCCATGCTATGTTGAATGCTATCAGGAGAGAGGAGGTGACAGAGGGGTCACCAAGGTGTTGGAGGAGGAGATGGTGCAGCAAGGAAATCTTATGTGAGACTCATGGCCCTTAAACTCTGTACCATCTTGTCACAGATCTGTTGACTGCTGAGGGATGGGATGGCAGACAAGCAGCATATTGGCTAAATGCAAGTACCCAAGGTCAAGGCTAGAAGTCCTAATCTCTACCATTCACAAGTTATCATCTGAATAAGACATTGTATAAATCTTTACTACCTCAGAAACATTGTTGCCCATGTTTCTCATAGGGTGGTGGTATGGACCAAGAAAGAAGTATAGTCTTTAGATCAGAGCTCCAGCCTGTCACCTGTCTTTTGTCTTTTCTTTTGAGACAGGGTCTCACTTTGTAGCCCAGGCTGGTCTTGAACTTGCAGTGATCCTCCTGCCTCAGCCTCTCCAGTGCTGGGGATTACAGGAGCATGTCACCACACTCAGCCCTGCTATCTATTTTTGTCAAAAAAATTTTCTTGGGGCTGGGGATTTAGCTCAGCGGCATAAGCGCCTGCCTTGCAAGCAGGCAGTCGTGAGTTCAATCCCTGGTACCGATAAAAAGGAAAAAAACCAAAAAAAAAAATTTTTTTGTTGGAGCATAGTCATACTCATTCATTTAAATATTCTCTGTGGCTACTGGCAGTGTTGAATAGTTACAACAGAAAACTTTTGGCCTGTAGGGCCCAGGATACTGACTGTCTGGCTCCTCAGACAAAGTTTAGTAACCTCTATTCTAGATGAGCAGTTTGGAAAATAGTATATTGTATACTTTTGGCCAAAAAAAGTTTTGATTTTTTTTTTTGTTTGATTGTTTTTGAGACACGATCTCAAGTGGATAGTCCAGGCTAGCCTTGAACTCAATATATAACGCAGACTGACCTTGAACTCACAGCCATCCTGCCTCAGTCTTCCAAGGTGCTGGGATTGCAGATGTATCCCATCCCTCCCCTTTTAAGACTTTGCCCAGACTTGCTTTAAATTTGTGGCCTGCCTCCCCCATAGCTCGGATTACAGGTTTGTGATACAACATCTGCTTTTGTGTGTATGTGTGTGTGTGCGTGTTTCTGGGGATTGAACACAGCCTCACTCATCCTATCAAGTACTCTACCACTGAGTTATCCAGGATTTTCAAAACACCTTTATTGAGCTATAATTTATGTACCATACAGTATACTCACTTAATGTTAACTTGGTAGTTTTTTGTGTATTTACAGAGTTGCACAATCATTACCACAATCAAGTGTAGAACAATTTTAACATGCCCAAAAGGAATCTGAATTTTGTAGTTATCATCTAACCTTATCACTTCCATCCCTGCTGCCCTAGGTAATTTGTATTTTGCTTTCTTTCCTCGTAGATTTCCTTGTTTGGGACATTTCAGAGTCTTTTTAACTGGCCGTTTTTACTTAGTATGTTTCTCATGTTGTTTGTTCATGTTGTATCATATATCGGTATTCTTTTTTTTTATTGCTGAATAACATTCTATTGTATGGATGTACCACATTTTACTTATCCATCCATTGATGGACTTGTGAGTTGTATCTGGCCTTTGGTTATTATGAATAATCTAAAATTTGGCCATTTCTGTTTCTTACTGTTCACAGGCTGTGCAAATTTGGGCAGTATTTTTGCTCATGGTTTTTTAAAAATATATTTTATTAGTGCATATTAATTTTACAATATTTTGGGTTTCAATGTGGAGTTTTTGTACATGTTCGTGATAATCAATGCTATTGTGAACTTTTCATATACTGACTACTCGTGTATTTTCTTTGAAATGCCTAACCAAATAGTTAGACTATTTTAAATTAGATTGTTTCTCCTCTTATTGAGCTGAAGGAGTATTTTCTATATTTGGACTAAAAGATTGTGATCCCTGCAAACATTCCAAACTGCTCCAGGATTACTGAGGAGATGTTCTGCATTAGAATTTCACCTTTAGGGTTTAAGGCCCACCAGATGGCACTGTTTTAAAAGATAAAGGGTTATAGTTTACAGCACTTCTTCTTGGTGCACATTGATGAGATTTTTGAGAACTAAAGAAGAGGCAGAGCCTAGAAATTATGACTGGTAGAAAGATCACTCAGTGGTCCATAAAGACTGGGACAGAGTTGGGTGTGGTAGTGAACGCCTGTAATCTCAGCTGCTTTGAAGGCTGAGGAAGGAGAATCACCAAGTTCAAGCACAGCCTGGACAATTTAGAACACTCTGTCTCAAAATTTTTAAAAGTGAAGATACGTAGCTTAGTGGTAGATCACCTGCCTAGCACATGTGAGGCCCTTAGTTTAATCCCTGGGACTGGGGTGAAGGGGAAAGAGAATGTGAAAAGTATTGTATTTAAAAAGCTTGTCATAAGAAACAGGCTAGAAAAGCAGAGAACAGTCTTAAAAACCTTCCGATGTGAAGAGTGCTACGTGGAAAATTATTCTTTAGGTCTCTTTCCCCTGTGAGAGGTGATTCAGTACAAATACAGAACAAGCAGTTCCTTGTACCACTTTTTGCTGTCCTCCTCTCCTGGCTCTCCCCTCTGGGATTGAACAAGAGATTTATGGAATGAATTAATATGCTATGGAAAACATAAAATTAATATGTTTAGAGCTGGGTATGGTGGCCTATAGCTATAATCTCAGTGCTTTGAGAAGCTGAGGCAGGCAGATCACATTCAAGCCTAGCCTAGCCGACTTAATTAGTGAGGCCTTTTCTCAAAATAAAAAAGGGCTAGGGATTTTCCCCCTTCTTGAAAGAAATTTTTGGAGTTGACTAGATAAGCAAGCTGGTTAATTAGGGTAATTAATTGGAGACAGAAGGTGGGAAGTGCTCCTGGGAGTTTTACTTATGCACCCCACACATGCATATGTGAAGTGCGCACACACACCTGAACACTGGTTTTCTACCCACTTGTTCTTTGAGGCATCAGAATCTTGCCTGAAATGAATCTGGCTTCACCCTATTGAGACATCATCTTTTAGATTTGGCACATTGTACTGGTCTAGGGATAGTATAGGGCAGGGTGGGGGTGGAGGATACTGTGCCTAGATGTTAAAGCAGAGGATATAAGAATTCAGTCAGGTCACATAGTCCAAAGCTCTGAAAGCTCCTGATAAACTTGTCCTTGGGCTTGGGAACTGGGGGAGGCATGACCAGCATGTCCTGTTCCTCTTCATCCTTGGAGAGTAGAGCCCCCCCTCCCCCGCTCCTGCTTTAATCAGAAGCTGTTGATTGTTGTAGAGCAGGGAAGACCTTGAATGGGTGGTAAGAAATCAAGCCAATCAATCAGCATTAGTAGCAATGATACAAGCTGGTCTTGTCGCCTTCTGAGCTTTGCTGGCATTATTTTAAACTGCCTTTCTGAAAAAAATCTGTCTTACAGAAAGGAAGAGGTTTTATCAGAATGTCAGCATCACACAGGGTGAAGGTGAGTCTCTGAAATTTTGACTGCTTCCTTCCTTTCTTTCTTTTTTTTTTTTTTTTGGTGAATGGTTGGAAACATTTTTCATGTCCAGCCAGTTCAATGGTGGGATTATCCTTCGTACTTTTGTCAGATGTTTCTATAAGGTACTTGGTAGTCTTTGTCTGGACCAATTCAAGTAGCTAAATATAGGAATGGTCACTTGATTCTACTTCACAATCCCTAAAAGTTTTTCATTTGATCTTTCAAGGTGGCTTTGAGATAAACCTGGACCACAGAAAACTGAAAACTCCCCAAGCCAAGCTCTTTACCGTCCCCAGCGAGGCCCTGGCCATTGCAGTGGCCACTGAATGGGACTCTCAGCATGATACCATCAAGTTCTACACCATGCACTTGGTAAACATTTCATAGTGCAGACTTATACCCTGATACCTGCTAGAGGCTTCTTAGGCTACCTGGTAAAAATTTTGACTTCTCCAATTGTGACAAGGCCCGGGATGGGGGGGATTGGGCTGGGGTAGGTGTGTACCTCTCATACCTACCAGCTCTTACTCATTAAATGGGCCAAGCTCCTTTCTTGTCTGGCCTGGCCGCCGGCTGTGCTTGTATTAGGTGACTAGATCCCGGTCTCAGGACAGATGTCACGTTTCGGACTGCCCAGCTCTCTTATTTTCCATTATAGCCACTGGTCATTTGTTTCATCCACACATAGACAATTTATAATGGTCTGTTTTATTTGCACATTTATTGTCAGTCTCTTCCACTGCCTAGTGAGCAACAGAGGGGCAGGGGCCATGTCTGCTTTACTCACCAGCCTCAGCAGAGAGTTTAGATGGTGCTCAGTAAATACTGGAGCAGAAATCAAAGAACCAGAAGGGAAACGTGAAGAAGACACTCTGTAGAGCTAGTTCTATCTACATACAGGTGGCTCACTGCGGCACTAGGACACAGAGTAATGTGAAAGGTCAGCCAGGTTCTTCAGGTTGAGGCCTCGGCAGTGGTAGCAAACCTATGGCATGTGTGCTGCCGCAGGCATGCAGAGCCATCTCTCAGCACGTGAACTAAGTCACCCCATGGCTGAACATCAGTTAACAGTTGTTTTTTCTAAACTAAAACCTTAGTATTCAAGTTTAAGCGGTGTTGGCACTTTGTGATAAATAAGGGGTTTTGGGTTGCAGTTTGGGAACTCAGTCTCTGAAAGGTTCACCATCACTGCTCTACAGCCTCCACACGGCGGCCTTGAGCAGGTTGCTGTCGTTCATAGTTCCATGTCCCCCCATCTATAAATGATGAATAATGAACAGTTCCCACTTGATGAAGTTGTGGCCAGGATCAGATGAAAAACCGCACAGAAAGCCCCTACATGCCACAAGGTAGGTACTCAGTCACTGTGGGAGCTGGTCGCCCTCATCCAGGCCGTTGCTGTGCTCAGCCTTGACCCACAGATCCAAGTGGCTTCACAGCCTACTTGAGGCGATGTCTACTGCTAAACTATCTGATGAAATTAGAGTGATTAGGGCTACAAACTAATAGAGTAACCAAAGAAACATATTATTGACAAGGCAAATCAAGGAACAGTCTTGATCCCAGATTAGATGACTTGTTTCCTTGCTTTTTAAGTGATTAAGGGAGCCAGTAAAACTTTTCAGTCAGATTTGAGTTCCATGAGTACATATTTTATAAACTGTATTAGCAGCTATTTTTTACCTGTCTGGGGGCTTCAGTTTCCACATCTCTGAAAATGGAAATAATGATGCCTGCCCCAGTGTGGTGTCATGAGGATTAAACGAAACACAGTAGAACATGGTATAAAAAGCCTGAGATTTTGGGGACATTCATTCACCCAGGACTGCTGAGAGTTCCTTAAGCCTCAGGAGTGTCCCCAGTCCTCAAGTGGGGAGACTGGCTCTGAAGACACCAGGATGTGGACTGGGCTTCTGTGTACCATGTGATTCCTGACCCATGACTGTATGTGGATGCAGGACCCTCAAAACAGGGCTTTTATAGGAGCCTAGCAGGTGGTGACAGGGCACTTTCTGCCTTTGATTCAGACCACATTGTGCAACACATCCTTGGACAACCCAACTCAGCGCAGCAAGGATCAGGTGATCCAGGCAGCTGTGAAGTTTCTGGACACTGACACTATCTGGTAATTGACATTTAGATAAGCAGTCCCCTTTGAGAGAGTGAGTCCTTTGGGCTATTTGCCACATGCACCCAGGGAGCACTCAGTGGGAAAAGAGGCAGGCCTGTTCCTGCGACCTGACAAGGTAGGGAAGACAGCCTCCTTAACATTGGCACCTAGATGCTCCAGTCCCTGGGAGGAAGCCTTCTCAGGCTTTGAGAGCACAGTGTTCTCCACAGATGGGACTAGGCTGGGGAGGGCTAAGGTGGAGGTGTATACAGCTTTGCAGGTACCTGAACCACAGGGCCAGCAGGTCCTCCTACCCTAAATTCTGGCATATTCTCTTTTACCGATGGTGGTTGTCAGGAGCTGGCCTGTTCCCACTCTGAAGTCTCCTCTTGGGTCTATGTTCTTTGGCTAATTGGTTAGTGATCCTGAAGGAACATCGAAGAAGCAACTGTAGTGATTAGGCAGCTCTGTACCCTCAGAGCCTAATCTCAAGGATGAGATGTCACAGGAAATTGGCACGGTGTTCTGGAAAGGGGTCGCCCATGGTGTTGATTTTGAGCTTCCTGTCAGCCCACTCCATTTATGCTAGGGATAAATTACTTGCAGGGAACAGAAATCCATTCAATCTAGTTCAGGCACAAAAGTGTTTCTGAAAATGGAGGAAGTTAGATCATCTGGGATAAAGCTAAAAGACTGGAATGCCAGAGCTCCTCCATCCTGGGTTTGGGATCATGTAGAAGGAAGAAAATTGCACAGCCTGTTCTTTAGATTGGCCACCTCAAGTCAGGCATCTGAGCCAAGAGATAGGTGGGTTCCTACGAGATAAAAGAGGCCATGTGGTCTATAGCTGAGAACATGCCTTGGAAAGGATGTTCCAAGGGCAAGGATGCCACTATTAAGCTTCTGGTCCAGCATTCACATCCAGTGGGTGTGGATTCCAGGACGTGGTTAATATGTTGCATCTGCTTTTGAACAGCACTAATGTAGTGCTACATTTTTGGACCTGTCAAATGTTTGAAAACATTTAGGACAGTGTTTTGCTTTATAAAGTTTTTTTTGGGTGTTGTTTTGTATTGTTTTCTTGAGACAGAATGTCCTTATGTAGTGCAGGCTTTAATCTCACCACACAATCCAGGCTGGCCTCAAGTTTATAGTTCTGCCTCAACTTGGAGCAGCCCTTCTTCCAAGTGCTGGAGTTAGAGGTGTGGCTGCCACACCTGACATGACAGTAGTTTAAGAACCCAAGCTGACTTTAGATACTGTTAGTAGATTTGTTGTAACTCAGATGGCCAGGCCCCAACCCCAGAGGTTTTGATTCCTGTAGGTGTGGGATGTGGCCTGAGAATGTGCCTTGCTAGTAAGTTTCCAGGTGACACCCATGCCACTAGCCTCAAGCCCATGAGAACCAGGGGACAAGACTAAGGGTGGTGAGAAAGTTTTGCTGTTACCTTTATTTTTTTTCCTTTTCTATCACTGAATGAAGGAATTGTACTATTTTATTAATAAAGGTGATTTTTACCATGAATTAGCTACAGGGTAGAAGAGCCAGAGACATTAGTGGAACTCCAGAAGAATGAGTGGGATCCAATCATAGAATGGGCCGAGAAGAGGTAAGATGTGCAGCCCTATGAGAAAGCATGGCGTGGCTGGGTATTGGGTTGTATGCTGGGGCCAAGGAGTTACACTGAACATTTGTACCCCTTAGCTAGCCATGTTGGGTTCAGAGTACCCTTGGGATTTGGCTCCCCTCAGATATTTGAGAATAAGTTCACTTGGTAAAAGTGTTTCTCAAATTTATGCCTGTCCCCATGTATGTACTACTGGTGTACACTGTTTGGAGCATAGGGTGAAGTTCTGTGTCTTCAAGAAGCACCATAGGTCCCAGGCCCTCTTCAGCAGTGGGTCAGAGCAGTGGTCAGTTTGAATCCCAGCTCTGCCAGGGTCTGCTGAGTCTGAACTTTAGTTTCCTTTCTGTAAATGGAACTAATCATTCTTGCGTCTCAGGGTATTGAGGATTAAACACATTGTTACATACAGTGCTTAGCATTCTGCACAATACACAGTAAATACTCCAATTCTGGCAGTTATTCTGATTTTCATCAGTTACCTTACTATTAAATAAAACCACAAAACAGCATGCAAGCTATGTATGTATATGGAGAGAAGTCAGACTAGCTTTCCGCAATAAATTCTGTGGGTGTGTGGTTTTTACAAATTGATGATACCCATTTTTTTCCTTAACAGGAAGGCTTTGCCTTGCAAAATTGCACAGATTATAGATGTGGTGGCAAAATTTTTTTTTTTTTTTTTTTTTTGTCCTGGGCATTGAACTCGGGGCCGCAGGCTTACCAGGCAGGTGCTGCCCCACTGAGCTAAATCCCCGGCCCCCATCAATTTCATTGTATTTCATTCCAAGGGAAATGTGCAAGGGCTGGATTTCGTGGCACTACTTTGTTCACAACATTCTTTTAAGCTTACCTGGAGTCCTGGAATACTTTTTTAGTAAAGCATGTATCATAGATGTGATGTCCATCAGTCTGGCCCCATTCATTTTGCTCCATGTTTCCAGAGTGTTCATAGTGGGCTCGGCATACTTTCCTCAAAGGAGAAGGCAGAGCTAGTGTTTTCCATGATCTGAGGAAAAATATGACTCCTACAATATTTTGTAAGAAATATAAAGATGCAATGATATTTTAGAACCTACTGAAATAAAACTGATTTAGGTTCCTGGAGATCTTTGGTATGGTTCAGAATCATCAAATTCTTGTGACCATTCACATAGCCCATCCTTAATAGTTTACAGAAAAATTTAGCTATGTCCTACATTCAATTTATATTCTTAGAAATTTCACTGTGGATATTTTTAAACCAATAGAAAAAAATGAATGATATATAAATAATTACAAAAATTATTTTTTTCATATGCCTTTTGTTGTGTTTTATATAGGTTTTTACCCCGCAGTGCTAGGGAGGGAACCTCAAGCATGCTAGCCAAGCAGTCTATCATTAAGCCATGCCCCAACCCCCTAGTCACACTTATTCTTTCACATGTATCTTTTCTTTTTTCTTTTGGCTTTTTCCTTTTTATCGGTACCAGGGATCGAACTCATGACTGCCTGCTTGCAAGGCAGGCGCTTATGCCGCTGAGCTAAATTCCCAGCCCCCTTGTGTCTTTTCTTAAAGCCAGCTCATGTCCAAGAGTTCAAAGGCCAAAACCAATAACAGAACCTTAATAAATATTTGAAAAAACAATTGGACATATATTCTTAATAAAATAATATTTGGAAGAAATATTTTATGATCTCAGATGGGAAAAACTTTTTAAAAATATAAAAAGCAGGTTACCCATGCTTTTGATAGCAGTTCCAGGGAAGTAACTTAGCATTTTAGGCTCTTACATAAAATGGAGCCCCATTTCCAGGATTCAGAAACTGAGGGCAGTTTCCTGCTTCTCTAGATTTGCTTTCAGAGCTTTGAGGTTGAGAGGCCATTGCCAATGGCAGTTGGCTTCCAGAGTCTTTAAGACTGGCTCCGTGGGCACATTCCCTGAAGAGTACACACTCATGCTCAGCAGTGAGTGCTTTTGGGACCTTAAAGCCTTTTCCTTTCAGATATGGCGTGGAGATCGGCTCCTCCACCAGCATAATGGGACCCAGCATCCCTGCCAAGACTCGGGAGGTGCTTGTCAGCCACCTGGCATCTTACAATATGTGGGCTCTACAAGGTAACACACCGTGGGCTAAGAGGGCAGGTATGATGCAGGTGGGCACTCCCCCTGCTGGAGTGCTCTGAGCATGAAGCTGGCTGGCTTTGATGGCAGCCCTTGTATTCAGTACTCCAGAGAGAAAGTTGGGTTTGTCCTGATTCAGCTAATCTGTGAAACAATCAGTGGATAGAGGTTTGAGGGGATGCTCTTGATTGGCCAGCTTCAGGTCATGTGGCTACCCAGGAAAGGTCAGAGGCAGGTCACTCCAAAGGAAAGCCAGAGTGCTCATCTAACAGAGTGAGATTGCTCATCTAAGAGAGTAAGGTCAAACCCTAGGTGGGTTCTAGGACCGTCTGTCTATCCTATGTCTATGTCTGCCTACTCACTCTTCTATGAGAGGTTGTGGCAGCCGCTCTGTCTCAGGTCCTGACTTGGCTTGTGTCCCCACAGGGATTGAGTTTGTGGTAGCCCAGCTCAAGTCCATGGTGCTAACCTTGGGCCTGATTGACCTGCACCTGACGGTGGAGCAGGCTGTCCTGCTGTCCCGCTTGGAGGAGGAGTACCAGGTGAGATGTTGCACCTCAGGGCCTGGCTGTACTAATTTAGTCCACAGCCAATCTCTCTGAAATACTTTTATGTAAATTTGATCTTTATTATTTTTGTGTATATGTGGAAGCCAAAATTAAAGATGAAAAAGTATTGTCAAGGCTGGGGATATAGGCTGGTGATACATTGTTTACCATGCTTCAGGCCTGGGATTCTTCTTCAGTAATGCAAAAACATTTGTTAAATAATGAAATTGGGGCTGGGAGTGTAGTTCTGGGGTAGAGCACCTGCTTCACCTGCGTGAGGCCCTGGTTCTATCTCCAGTGCCAATTTTTAAAAAAAAAAAAAGGTGCTCAGTACCTCTCCCCTCTACCTTTTACTTCTGCAGTCTTGATTTGGTGGGGGCTGTGCTCATACTCACTTTACACAGAAGGAAATGGAGGCCCCAGGTCATACCTCTGGAAAATATTCCAGCTAGAGTTTGAAGCCAGGTCTAGGGCAGTCTGGGGCCAAGGGTTTTAGTCCCCACTTTGCATTTGAAGGTTTGTGAGTAGATAAAGAGAGTGTGGGCCTATTAAGTTGCAGAACAAGCCCTGCTGGAATGACAGAGGACCTGCTTCTGCTCTTAAGTCAGCCACGCACTTTAACTCTGGCATTTCATAGGACTGGCAGAGGAGTGTGGGGTAGCTGCTGTTTATATACAAGTTCAAGGCTAGCCTAAACTGCATGGTGATACCCTGTCTCAAAAAGACCCCCAAAAAAGAAAGAAAGAAATGTAGATAGCTGTGTGGCATCTACATTTTGTGGCAGATTGCGAGTTCTTGGGCATGGTGGGGCAGCAAAGCCAGACCTTCTGGGGAAGAGCTAGCAGGGTCAGGTTAGAGTTGCACTGATGTCCCAGTCCTGGGGAGAGACAACAGCCTGGCTCCAGCAGGTAAAGCAGAGGCCTCTGTAGCCCTGCTATTCCCCCAGGAGTTAGAAGTCATATGCATGCTTGTTTGAATTATTTATTTTACTCATAGTGAGCACTTGCAGTCCAGCTGTAGAACAGCTCACAGGCACCCCATGCTAGGTTCTTTGTACAACATATGAGATGAGTGAAGCCACATAATTCAGGCTACCTCAATGAACATATGAGTGGTTTTGGTCCTCAGCCTTCCCAGTAGTGGGAGGCTATTGGCCCTGGGCTTGGACTTACTCCTCTCAGATCAGCCAGGCTCCAGCAAGTACAGGTGCCTAGTCTAGCCACCTGAACCCCCTCGTATTCCCCCTTCATGTATATCTGAACTGTGTCGACAAGATCCAAGCATACTTCTTTCAGTCTACCATTGGGAATGGAGTGTGGTTCTGGTGTGCAGCTAGCTTGTCTCATCCTCTCCCCTCAGATCCAGAAGTGGGGCAACATTGAATGGGCCCATGATTATGAGCTGCAGGAGCTGCGGGCCCGCACTGCTGCTGGCACCCTGTTTGTCCACCTCTGCTCAGAGAACACCACGGTCAAGCACAAGCTCCTGCAGGAGTGAGGCCTGTGCTGCACATGCCAGCTGGATGAATTCTGCACAGCCACAGCTTCCTTTCCCTGCGGCTTTCCTGACCTGCACAGCTGCTCTGGCCTGCTACTGTGGGCCCCTTCTGACCTGCAGGCCTTGGCCTTGCATAGCATTTCCCTGAGGCGCCCCTGATACGCAGTGTGGCTCTCCAGAGGTCAGCCTGATTTCAGCCCAGGTGTACCTGGCCTGGCCAGCATCGAATGAGAGGGATAAGTTGTACAAATGACTTTCTCTTGACCCTGATTTTATTAAATATTTCTCCACACTGGAAATATGTCAAGTCCTTTTGTCATCTGCGCCTTTAGATTTTCCCATCCTTGTTTTGCCTGGGTTTTGTCACCAAGGTTGAACAGCTTATCTCCCAGGCACATTCTGATATCTGCTGCCAATGGTAAGAAACCTCATGCTGGGGAAACAATAATGTCACCAACAGACAACTCTATTTCTGTCTTTATCCTCTGCCTGAACAGCTTTTTTCCCTGGTTTTTCATCAAACAATCTTTTGAAAGTGAGTCCTTGGCCTAAGCTGATTGTTTGTTTGTTCCTACTATTCTAGGAAAAAATGAATTACTCTTGAAAATAGAAAATACGAGTTTTTTTCTGTTGTAAAAGCCCTGGCAGGCCTGTCAAGGTCACCTAAAATGTATTGCTATAATTTGGATCTGGAATCTAAATGTTTGTTCCCCACAGTGGTGCTGTTGGGAGGTACTGAAACCTTGTAAGAGGTAAGGCCGTGTGGGAGGTTTCTAGGTGATTTGGGATATAACCTCAAAGGAGATTATAGGACTGTACCCTCTTCTTGCTCTATTTAACTTTCTGGCCATGAGGTGTGCCGTCCTGCTTCACTACATACTCTCATCATGATGTGTACCTCACCAGTCTCTAAATCAGCAGGGTTATACCTGGTCATGGACTGAACCCCCTGAAAGTGTGAGCTGATTTTTTTTTCCCTTTACAAGTTGATATGTCAAGTATTTGCTGTAGTGATTGAAGCTAATACATGCACATTTCTATTCATCTTCCACTCAGGAGACCTGAGACTCCTTCCAGCATGGCCATCTCCACTATCCTGGCAGTTAGGTGCTGCTTGCTGGTGCCAGACTCATTGAAAAGGCAGTGGGAGAGTGGTTCTTTGGCAGTACTAGGGATTGAACCCAGGGCCTTCACACTGAGCTATGTCTGTAGCCCTTTTTAAATGTTTGAAACAATCTCACTAACTTGCCCAGGTTGGATCTGCTCAGAGTGCTGAGATTACAAGTGTGCACCAACACACCTAGCTAGCAAAGGCTTCCTGAGGTCCATGCCCTCCACACCTGAGTAATAAGATGGCATCATTCCACTTATGGGGCACTAACCCCATACCACGTACCTTTTCCACACTTCCCATTCTCTGTCTTCTTGAATCCCCTAACTCTTGAGGAGTTACTCTCAAAGTTGGGATCCCCAAACTGCATCCTTAACTTCTGGAGCAGACTCAGGTCCCTGCAGCCAGCTGTAAGCCAAAGTTGGCCACAACCTCTGCCTTGGAGGGCAGACCCCTGCATCATAGTGCCAGTTACAACCTCTTCTGCTTATAGGTCCTCAGCACCCAGAGGAGGGAAGGGTTGGGCCCTGCAGCCTGCCCTAGGCATGACTAAGGAACAGCCCTGCCCATATTTGGCCACAGATACTTCCAGCTGAGTTCCGGCCCTTTGACTGGCCAGGGACCTGCTGTTTCTCTTCATCTTTTCTTCTGTTCATACATGGATGTACATTCTCATTTTTTTCTTCCTTTTTTTTTTTTACTTCACATTTGGAACTTTCTCCAGGGTGAATAAGGGAAGAATGGTGTTTTGGGAGACACGGGTTGAGGACGTGCCAGTAATTCTCTCCTGAGGCAGCCAGTGAGTAGGAGCTCATACTACATTTGGAAAGGGACCTTCTGGCTGACATGCACCTAATCCATATCACCGCATTCCAGGTTGTCCAGCTCACTCTGCATGTGGTCGATGTACTGATTGATCTCCTTCACTCGCTTGCGGTTCCTCATGATCTCATCCTTGTGAATCTGGGAAATAAAAGTAAAGCCCATGGCTTTCAATCAGATCAGTATCTTTTTGGGTTAATACCTTTCACCGAGGCCAGTTTGAGGGAAAAGAGATTGTTCTTTGAAATCTCTAGTGTTTCGGAGCCTCATTTACTCCAGACCCTGCTTCTAGTCTGTGGATCTATTTAAGAGTCTGGATCTATTTTATCTTCCCTATTGAAAATGGTATGCACTATATAGGAAACTTTTCCATTCTTTCTGGCTGCTATCTAGAAAAATGGGGTCAGCCAGCGAAGATGTGTTGGCATTTACTTACCTTGTCTACTAAATGTGTACACCAAGAGTTGATCCTGGTCACCAGCTCATCTTCCCTATTATCAATCTTCAGGAGGTGGATGTCATGTGATGCCCCAACAGCATTAACAATCGTGTCTTTGTCAACAAAAAGCTGGTGAGTGAGAAGGCCCAAGTGAGATCATGTGTGTCATTATACCCTGAGCACAAAGTCGGGGAGCAGAATAGGAAAAGGACTCCTGGGAATTCTCTAGCTGTGCAGGCTGTGCCAGGTGGAGAATCCATCTTTGTATTGGTAGACTCTGTGCCAGCTCATTTCAGGTGACAGCCACCTCTCTAACCTAAGCAGTGGCAGGTGTTACTCTGCAGTCCTCATTGGGAGCATGTTTTCTCCAGGGAGAAAGCAGATGGCTGCCCAGGGTGAACTCACTCAGGACATCTGTTCTCACAAGTCCTCTCAGGAGTTTGCGAGTCTGACTTGTCCCAAACCCCTACCAGGCAGGTGGGTGATGCAAAGCTGGCCAAGTGTCCCCCAGCTGCTTTGAGGACCACAGGCCTTACAGACCAACGGATAGTTCACCCATGCTTGTCTAATGGCACCAAGATCAAGCTTTAGGGTCCATTTGGAGTCTCTTACCTTTCCATGCTCCTGACATGGCCTGCTGCCTTGTAAAAAAGCTGTTCAAAGCAACCACCCTCTAGCAGGCCTGGCTGATTCTAAGTGTTGACACTGTGGCTGTCTATGTCTGAAAAACATCATACTCCAGAGTGGGGGAAAGCTGATTAAGCATTTAGGGGCCAGTAACTTCCACACCGAATTGGGGGTACTTTGTAATGGCAAGATTAGCAAAGGATCTAATTTTATGTTGTAGAGAGGATAGCTTATGAGATGCATACACGTGGAGCATCTCACCTGAAATGCTTGGGACCAGAAGTGTTTCAAATTTCTCATTTTTTTGAATTTTGAAGTATTTTCATACAATTTTTGAGCATCCCTAATTAAAAAATCTGAAACTTGAAATGCTCGAAACCCATTTCAGATTTTTGGATCAAAGATGCTCAACGTATATTTGATTTTTGTTTTTCTATAGTAGCAGTTAATTTAATTCAATGGCCAAAATACTATGTTCTGTAGAATCTTGAGATGTTTATATTTCTTTGAGAAAATGTATTCTTTAGTCAAACACGGATGGGAAACCCAGCACCCTCAGGCCACACCTAAAGATTTTTAGGGTACAGAGTATCCTAAAGGCTCAGCAAAGTTCTATGGAAAACTAGCGTTTTTTTTTTTTTTTTTTGTTTTGTTTTGTTTTCAGAAAAGAAAGAGAGAAATTCCAGAATGCACAGTGAACTGTACCCTCTAAACCTGACATAGAAAGAAGCACAGGGTGGAGGTGCTGGGGAATCGAACCCAGGACCTCGTGCACGCTAAGCACACACTCTATCACTGAGCTACACCCCCTACAAACCAGCGTTTTAAAACTTGGTGTCTCCTGGTGTTCTCACTTATTTAGCCATAACTCTGTTTCAGAATAATGTCTGCAGGCTTATTTTGCACAGAATCCCATGTGGACAAATCCAAGTTAGCTGGTGTAAGGAATGAGATGGCTGGGTGACCAGTTGGCACAGTAACACATAAGAAATGATGAAGTTATTGTGTTCTATCTCTGTGGGTATGTAGTGCCAGCCAACGCTCTCAGAAAGGGTAGAAAAATGTGGAAAACTGGTCAGGTATGGCGCTGTGTCCCTGTAGTCTCCTAGCACTTGGGGGGCTGAGGCAGGAGGACTGCAAGTTTGAGGCCAGCTTGGGCTATATAGAGTTCAAGGCCAGTCTGAATTACATAGCAAGACCCTGTCTCAAAAAAAAAAGTGCACTGAGCCTCAGGCAGCCTTTTCAGAAATGGGCACCCAGATATTTTAGAAACAGGCACCACAGCACCAACCCCCATTATGTAAAGGTTTTCAGTCTTCATTCTATAAAGTGAGTTGTAGCTGATCTTAAAGCAAATACAAAACATCTTCCTTCTTAGAGTTTGAATAGACAGAAATGGCTTCAAAGGGTTGAGAAGCAACAAAAACTGAGATCAGCTTAGAAGCACATGAGATAGAATTAATTTTTTAAAAATGGTGTGACATTTGTAAAATATAAACAAAAGGAATCTGGTTTAAAGAAATTTTTGTGGTTTTTGTTGCTTTAGGGGAGTTTCTCACTATGTTGCCCAGGCTGGTCTTGATCTTCTGGGGTCAAGTAATCCTTCCATCTCAGCCTCCCCAGTAATTGGGAATATAGATCACTGTACCTGCAAAGAAATTCTTTGAACATGCAAGTTGTGTATTGTTTCTGGACTTGAGATGCCTGGAGTGGTGACTACTTTCCTCTTGCAATAGTTCTTGTGGGGAGAATATTCTGGATTCTCCTCCAGTTTCTGTTGGTTGAAAGCACTGGGGTACAGGCAGAGACTATGCAGAGGTCGTGAGAAGCACAGGCTGCTCTTGTCCCCTGGGCGGGGTCCCCTGTTCCATAGGCCTTGCTGGACTTCACAGAGGTGACTATTGTAGCCACGAAGACACCTCTCCTTCAGAGCGACTTCAGGATTTTTGAGAAAGGCACAAGTGCCCCTCTTTGGTACCACCATGATGCTAGCGATTTGATGCTAGTGATTTGTGGCATGAGGGGTCAGGTCATTTTGTCGAACCCAATGAGTTCTACCCCTCTCTATGACAGGCAAGGAGCAGCTCACCCTAATGGGCAGACACCTGTGCTAAGGTTTATCTTCCTGGTCCGAGCCAGAGTTTCATGGTAGCCACTCTATCTACTGCTGGCCTGGGTCAAACACAGTTGTTCTAGTAGGTTTAAAGAACTTACAAGTGCTCCCCACAGCTAGGCCAAAACACTAGCCCTGCCCTTGCAGCTGGACACTGCATACATAGTCAGAGTCCCCAGGTTGCATATCTGACATCTCTTCTGCCTCCCAAATCGGCAGCTGTTGCTGTCAGCACCGCACAAAGGCCCTCCCGCACTGTCAGCCCCAGCATTTAATTTTACTTTTCCTCTCCAAGCTGGGAAAGACTTGAAGACATAGACATGAGACAGTTTGGGCCCCAGGTATGGCCTGAACTGGTAACAATCACTCTACTGAAGACAGGAGTTTTAGAGACAACCTCATCAAATAGGACTCTTCATCATGATCTGCTCATTGATCACTATGTAACAGAAGGCAGATTCCTTCCACCTAAGGCCCCCTTCCCTCCTTGGAACAACCACTCCTGCTAAAGACTCAGTAGACATTAAAGGTTTGAGTCCAACCATCAAGGTTCAAATCACAGCTCTACTGCTTGGGCATTTACTTTAAACTGTGCCTCAGTTTCCACATCTATAAAACAGCACCATAATGGCACCTATTTTATGGTGGTAACATGAAGATTAAAAGAGCAATTCCATGTCCAGTGCTGTGCAGAGGGCCTGGCCTTCACAGCCCACTATTACTCCTTACAGTCAGGCCATGCCTTTTACTCCCCAGGAATAATAGGGCAATAAGGAGACCAAGCCAGCAGTGTGAGATCCTGATGACATCTCCTGCTGCAATTTCAGACAATCCTAAGGGGATGGAGGTTTTCACCAGCTGCCGCCATAAGGCACTGAGGACTCTATAACAGTCCTGCTAACAAGCCCAAGTAGTGCCTTAGCTCAGAGGCAGAGCACTTTGACCCAGTGCCATGGGCACCCCCAGGGTGCCTGCCAACTTGTAGTCCACCGTCAAGGGCACAGCATGGTTTCTACACGGAGCCAGGATCTGCATCTGTCAGACTGTGGTTCAATCCAGACTCCAGTCAACACAAGCTGTGCCATCTTGGGCATTTTACCAACCCAATCTTGAGTACCAGTTTTACCCAATTTTCTCACCTGCCATCTGGGGTGGTATTTCCTTTGATGAAATGAATGAGATCATGTGTGATCTTCAGGCCTGGACAGTGAATTCCCCCTAGGAGGGAACCCAGTGTGCTGCCAGCTGCTGCAGTCAGCAGGTTCTGAATGTTTCAGGAGCAACACGAACAGGTGTCAGGTGGCATCAGGTGGGGCCTGCTGGGCAGGAGGGCAGCTGGCCACTGAGAGCACAGCCTAGCCTGCCACTCTGTTGCTGGCTATAGGACCCATTTTTTGTTGCATGTCTTAGTCAATAGGAAGTCAGTGTGTTACAGTACTGTGGCCACAAACGTGGGAACTCCACCCAGCCCAGAGTGGGGTTCCAGATAGGACTCTCAGGGGAGGCAGGCTCCCTGGCTCAAGGAAGTCTGATCAAAAGTTAGCTGCATTTAGCTGCCTAGGGAAAGAAGGCTGGAGTCCTAGTGGCCCTCCCACCAGGCTGCTGTGTTACGTGTCTGTCTTAGCCTCAGGACAGAGGCCGCAGAGTCAGGAACCACTAGGCTTCCATCTGGAGGACTGAGCCCAGCACCTGATAGAGAAAAGGCTCAGTGAACTCTTTCTCTTGCCCATTCACTCCACATATGACTCCTGGCATCTGCACTGGACACTGGACACTGCCGCCACTGGGAGGTACATGGTGGTTAAAAAATAAAAGGCACCCCTGCCCTTTCTCTGTAGGTTTGATACATAATGTGAATAGTCACATAAACAAATCAACGTAAACCAGAGTTTGGGACTGTGACAAGGCTTTGATCTGATAAGTGGGGTGCTTATAGACAATTGTTTTTAGGAAGGTTTGGTTCCTTTGGGAAGGTTCTTCTCCAAAGAAGTGACACTTGAGCTGGGATCGGAATTACAAGGATGAATTCAGACACATGGAAACCTGAGGGAAAAGCACACTTTCCAGACAGACTATCGGCTGAAAAGGAGGTAGCTGGGAGCTGGGGAAAGGCCCTAAGACAGAGTACTGAGTTGTGTGTGTGTGTGTTGGGGGGACTGCCAAGATAGGCAGGCCCAGATCTGAGGGTTCAGTGACTATGGGGAAGGACTTACTCTAAAGTCATGCAAAATCCAAGCAGAGGTTGTGCAAAGTGTGCAACAGTGTGGCTTGGGCTTTCAAAGCTCCTCTCTGCATGTGAAGCACAGCCACTTAGGAGAGCAGCAGGGAGGACAGAGTATAAGGAAAGGGAGGTGTGGCTTGGTGGTGACACAGCAGTAGACACAAGCTGAGGAACTGGCATAGGTTGATTGATGCATGAGAGAGTAGGCCTCTAACATGAAAAATGAGCCTGGGCCTCTCCATCCATGCTTATATTGCTGCCCAGGCTGGACTCTAAACACAGACTTGGAGAACCTCCTCAGCATGGAGAGCCAAGGATGGAGCACATGCTCCTCCTGAGTGACCCCACTAATTCCCTATCATTTAGTGAATGGATGGGTGGCAACATGCTGCCTCAGCAATGGTGCCTGGAGTGGTTCCAGTATATCAGTTAGTGCTTTTCATTATCAACATTCTAAGGTGAAAGCCATTAGGGAAATCTCAGAGCTGAACTTTTATTTGTGACTCTCTCCCTTAGAAAGTGCCAGAAATACTCCAAAAACTGAACTTTTTTCATTTGAAACAGGGTCTTAATATATAGTCCAGGCTGGCCTTGAACTTACTATGTAGCCCAAGCTGGCCTCAAAACTTGTAGCAAACTTCCTGACTCAGCTTCCCAAGTCCTGGGATTGCAGACTCATGCTCCATGCCCACTTGGAAGCCAACCTGTTGGGAACTTTAAACCATCTAACCATTACAAACGCTTCTTTCACTGAGCCCACTGAGGGTCCCCTGTCCCCAGGTACCTTATTTGCTATGTTATTTTACCTAACAACTCTACAAAACAGTTTACTGTCTCCTATTGTAGATGGGGAAACTGAGGCTTGGGGATGTTGTCAAGCTTAAGTGAGCCATAGAACTGGGCTGGATTCAGTCTATTTGGCTCCCACATACAGCCCGCTGTACTCTCCCCTGCCCTCTGTACTTACTGTACGCACATCATCAGGTAGTTCCTCGTCTAGCTCGCCTTTGATGATCTTTTCAAGGGTGCTGATGGAGATCTCCAAGAGTTTCTCATGGTGGTGGTTCTCCAGGTCTCGACACTGAGCCATCGTGCAATAAAGAGTTAAGCAAAGCCAGGACAGTGCAGGGTGACATCTCCTGACCCACAGAGGTCCATCCCATCTCAGCTGGATAAGAACAGAATGAATGAGATGCTAGCAGTAAGTGCCTTCACATATGTCACCTACAGGCCCCAAGTCCCAAGGCCAAACCAATTGTCCCTCCTTTGCACCTGCTTTGTACCTGGTCATCACTGACCCTCAGCACTGGGTTCCTCTCACTGTCTCTCTATCACCCACTTCTCCACCCCCACCACCTAGGTACCAGCTGGACACTGCCTGCTAGACACCATGGGTTTTCTATACTCATGCTCTTCTCCATAGCAGCTGGATTGAGCCTAACAATGTAGATACCTGGGAGCTATCTGTCCCCTGCTTAAAGTTCCTAAGAGATTCTGGCTCTCTGATGTGTCCTGAGATCTTCCTCTGGGAACCAGGCTCCTCTGGCCCATCTCCAAGGGCTTTGCACACCTGCCTCCTCTTTCTGGAATATCTCACTACCCTTTCTCCTGGTCCCTCTGGTCACCTGATGGTCCTCATTTAGTATACTCTTGCTCAGAGAGGCTCCTCGCCCTGGCCTCTAGGTTGGCTGCTAACTTGGATAGCACTTGTTATCTTTACAACGTCTGTCTGCTAGATTTTGAGCCCTAGGAGGGCAGGACCAGGAGCTGCTTTGGGGTAGAACATAATGGTTTGCCCCTTCATGTGGCAGGGCCCCGAGTTCAGATGGCAGAAGGTTGGTTATATTCCTGATTTTGGATCCTAACCTTAATATTTAAACTGGTAAGTTCATTAAAAATAATTTGTCAGTGTCTTTAATGTGGATATAGTCTCTCCCTAAGAGGTTGTAACACAGAAACAAGCAGTGCTTCAGGGGTGCCATCTCCCCGTGAGCATCACCCATCTGAGAACCAGCAGGTCAGAACTCTACAGCTGTCTCTTTGGGCATCCAACTTGTCACTCTAACAAGGCCATCATTGTTCTGAGAGTTGAGAAAGCCCCTCAGGCCCATGAAACATTCTTCTGAACAGTCTTGTGGTTGTCAAATCTGCATCTTTTGAAAGGGAGCTTTTTCCTTGGCAGAAACTGGAGGTTTCCATTCTTCTAATATCAAAGGTAAAGAACCTCATTTAAAAAGGTCCTAGGGTGAATTTAAATATCCTCTTGGTAGAAGTATAAATCTTTCTGAAAGGCAAGTGGGGAGTAGGTATTTCAGGTAAAAAGTTAAGTATGCTGTAGAGTGCTGACTTTTTCCTATTTTTGCCAATGTGGTTAGCACTCTGGTGGTAATGAGAAGGATGGAGGAGGTGGCCTTTGTCGGTAGCCCGTTAGAAGAGGAACCCATTTATTTGCATCCTGCTCAGTTTCTGAAGAAACGTTGTTCTTCCCTGACTTTTGTTTAAAGTGCAGGGACCTTTTCCATAGCTCTCCTATGGGTAGGTTTGGGGGCCATTACAGAAAGGATATAGACTCTGGACGTTTTCAATAAATAGTCCCACCATGTCAGTGATGTTCCTTTCAAACATGTTTATGGTTTCCTGGAGATGATAAAGAACACAGTTAACGTGCATATTTAGACACTTCGCACTACAGGAAAAGGTGCTGTTTGGAACTCAGCAGGTGCTTCCTGAATCAGAGAGCTTTACTACCCACCTTGGAAGTAAGGACCGTCCACTTTGACCTTCCTGGGAAGACAGTTGAAAACTGACTCCCTCTTCTCTCTCCAGGATCAACTCAATCCTCACAACAACACTACAATACTGTAATTCTGTCTTCTGGCTTTTACTGTGTTGGTCTCTGCTGAGAGCACCTGTCCTTTCCTACTCTCTTCATTTCTTATTCCTTCTTTGTGAGCTTCTCAGTGGCATCTGTCCATCCCCTTCAGAGAAACAGTGCAGGAGCTGTCAAGAGCCCGATGCCTGGGTCAGTGTTCCAGCCCTATCACTGTGTTACTCTGGGAAAGTCATTTAACCTCTCAGTACCTCTAGATCTGTGAAATGGGTTTTCTACATAATCAATACCTGTCTCATGGACATGTGGTAGTGTTCAATGAGCTATTGCTTTTCTTTTCTTTTGTTTTTAATCAGTACCGGGGATCGAACTCATGACCACCTGCTTGCAAGGCAGGTGCTTATGCCACTGAGCTAAATCCCCAGCCCCTCAATGAGCTATTTCACCCTAGATAATTTGCAAGATACCTGGCCTGTTAAGGTACTTTGGTAGTTCTGGCTATTACTCCAGACCGCTCACCATTCGTTGCTGGTGCTCAGTTCAGCAAGGCACCTTAGACCTAAAGAGGACTTGGCGTTGATGGAGAGAACAGAAGAATTGCTTTGTGAGGTCTGCTTTTCTAGGAGACTCTCCCCCAAGTTGCCACAGACCCCAGGAAATGCAAAGTAAGCTAAGGTGCTGGGTGTCCACAGGAGCCCAAAGACAATTGCAGGTTGGGGAAATGAAACATTTTTCAGATGCATGTAAGGGTGTTGTAGTGAATAAAAACAGACCACTAAAAAGCATGGCTGTCCTCCAGCTTTCCGGCCCCTGGTAATACAAGGCCAACACATGATTCTGGGAAATGATGGATATGAAAAAGCCATCTCCCTGCTTGAAAAGGTGGGAAGCTGTTGGCGGGCCCTCCCCTGGAGATGTGCTGCTTCTGCAGTGCTCAAGCACTGAGAGTGACTGCATGGCATGTGATGGTGAAATCTAGCCCATGTCTGAGGTGTCACTTGACGTGTGAGGAATTGATTAGGTGCTATCTCTTGGCCCAGCCGCAGCAGCATCTGATGAAGTTCAATTCATCACACCACTTTCGACTCCCAGCCTCTGATGCCTGCGAACACACAAGTCACCCTGGCTGCTAATGAATTTTAGACAGCAGTGCTTTCATTCCCACTCCTTGGTGCTGAGTTGCAATCTCCTTGTGTCACCCAGGAAACAGTGACTACAGCTGTGATCTGGAGGAGCCTTTGTCTGATCCTTGACTGGGGTCCATTTTGTCTTGGAAGCACCCACATTGCTCCTTGAGTCTAATCAAAAGGCTACTTGAGTCTCTTCCCTACTGAGGCTCTGGGCTCTTGTAGGATGGGGAGAATATTCCATGCTCTACAAGAATCACTTTTCATCTAAATTATTAAAATGTATTAAAATCAGGGATTCAGGGTATAGCACTTATCTAGCATGCATGAAACCCTGAGTTCTATTCCAGGACTGCCAAAAGATTTTTTTTTAAGCACTAAAAGAAAACACAGGAGTGATGAGCAAAAATTAATTGCTGGGTTGAACTACAGCAGTGGTGGTGAACCTATGGCATACATGCCACAGCAGGCATGCAGAGCCCTCTGTTGGTACATGAGCCAAGTTGTCCCAGCAGCCAATCACTGATACTAAAGTTTGCTTGCAATGTTGGCACTTTGCAATAAATAAGTTTTTGTTTGCAGTTTAGGCTGTTGGTCTCTAAAAGATTCGCCATCAGTGCATTAGACGTTTCCAACAGAGGGGTGCCCATGGAGGCAGCAGCTTGTGGGTGGTTTTGCAGCTGCACCAACAAATTCTTGCATCTGCATTCAGGGATGGCCTTACCTCCAGCTGTTCTACCAGCTGCATCTCCAGTGTCATGAGCACATTGAACAGCTCTGTGATGTTTTCACTGCATTCCACTATCTTCTTCTCGATGCTAGGCAGGTCAGATTCTTCTCGAATGGCACTTAGATTCTGGAAGCAAAAGTCTGTGCTTCAGGAATCAACTATTAATTGTAATTAGTTAATAATAACTGGCAATTTGGTTTTGAGGATAAAAACTTGGAATTTTGGGTTGAACTTGACCAAGTTCAAGCCTCAGCTCTGATGTATGCTACTCTGCGAGCTTACAAAGGCTATTTGCTCCTTTGGCATTGAGTCAAAGCTGCTTGAAAAACAGCAGATGCAAAAAAGGTGCTCTGATCTCCCCTTTTCTCTCTGAGAGCAGATGAAACTCCCAAGGGAAAGATGCTCTCCTTACATTAGAAGGAAAGAAGTCATTTGTATCACCAGACGTGGAGCAGTCAAGGCCAAGAGAAATCTGTACAAATGAACCTTGTAAACTAATCTGTGTAGTCACCTCTCCTCCATTAACTGCTGCATCCCAACCCCTTTGTCTTGTTGTTTTCACAATTTACTATTCTTGGTTCAATCTAGTACAATCATATACCATCCAAAGGCTTTTGCTCAATGATGTAGCACACATAGGACAGTGATGTCTTAAGATTATAATGGGGCTGAAATATTTTATCACCTAGTAATATCATAGGTGTCTTAGTTTGTGTTAAATACACCCTATGACATTCTCACTATGATAAAGTCACCTAATGACACATTTCTTAGAACCTGTCTCATGTCATTTAGTGATGCATGACTATACGTTGAGCTTATGACCCTGACTGCTTATTTGTATTTTCATTTTTCTTGTTGAATGCTCCATGTAGAAATGACTACATAAAATTTATGAACCATGAGCTATGTATAGATATAGGCACAGATCATAGGTTTACAGAGTGCTGTGATCCCAGCACCTGACAGACAGAAGTAGAAGGATCACAAGTTCAAGGCCCATCTGGGCAATTTAGCAACTTAATGACACACTGTCTCAAAATATAAAATAAAAAGGGTTGAGAATGCAGCTCAGTGCAAAGGTCCTGAGTTCAATCCCCAGTGTTGCAATCAATGAATCAGTCACTCAAAAAATACAAACATATATGTAAGTCAAATGTGTTCCTCTACTGACAATTTTGAATTTCTGGTTGAATGCAGTGACACCCTTTTCAAGAACATAACAAGGAATAAAAAAAAAATGTTTGCTAAACAAGTGATGGATCAGAAGAGCTGCCGTGGTTGTCATCACAGTAGTGGTACAAATACCATTATCAATACTGAACTAGTGATGCTGACACCAATGGGAAAAATTGGAATCCCAGGGCATCTTTGGTTTTTGTTTTTCCAGCACTGTGGAGCTACAAATGCTATATATGATAAGTTCTCTTTTATCTTGAGACAGGGTCTTACTAAGTTGCTAAGTTGCCCAGGATGACCTAGAATTTGCAATTCTGCTGTCTCTGCCTATGAGCAGCTAGAATTTCATGTGTGCCATCAAGTCTGGTTTCCAGAGAGGCATCTTATGTGACAGGTGCCCCATCAGATAGTTGGTGGTGCTGGGATGAACTTGGGCCTTAGTTGCCACTTATTATTATTAGGGCGGGGGGAGTTACCAGGATTTCAACTCAGGGGCCTTGTGCATTCCGGGCAGAGGCTGCGCTGCTAAGCTGTATCCCTGGATCCCTAGCTTGGCATTTAGTTGCAGTGTGATCCTTGGCAAACAGGACAGTGACCCTCGATCTGAGGGGTTGTCAGAGGGCATAGGACTGGCAGCCCTCCCCAACTGGAGGAACTCAGGGCACCCTCGAGCAAAGGTAGCAGAACACCTACCAGCAGGTGCTTCTCTTCAAAGCTGGCGATCTGCAGTTTGCCCTGCTCCTGGTTTTCCTGGATAGCCTCCTGGACACACTCATGGAAGGTATCCAGCTCTAATTTCCGTTTCTCATGCTGTTTCAGGCCATACTCAAAAATATTCAGGCAGATGATGACAAACTTGTCTCTGTAGGTAAGTGGCTATTAAGGAAACTCAAGGAGGCCACGGTGCGTGGGAAGGGGAGGAACAGTGACAAAGTGTTGGTAACTCCCAGTCTAGAGTGCGTACTGTGTGTTGAACCCTGTGCATATGACTTAACCCCATGCTTCCATATGGGCCCTTTAACAGGTTAAAAATTAAGGCTCAGAGAGCCAGGATTTGAAATTTGAAGCATAGCATAGGAGCTGGGGCTTCTTACCCTCAACATGAGGAAATTAGTATGGGGCTGAAAGGCCCCATGAGAACTGGAGGACTCTGGGCAAAGGAGGGGCCAGGGCCACCACTGGCCAGGGAAATGGTGGTGTTTGCTTTTGTCCCTAGTGAGTTATTCAGGAAGGCTCATTTGTTGAGGGCCTATCTTAGTGTCAGCTGTGGAGGCACCACAGGGTCAAAGCAGATGATCCAGGTTCAAGTCCTGACTCTGTTACTGCTTCATACTGATGCATACTGGCAAATCCATGCTGGGTCCTTAATTTCTTCTCCTGCATGCTTTGGGAAGCGTCTTGGGGTCAGGTGGGTAAAGCCTACGGAACTTTGGGTGGTTGTATTGGGCTGGAAATGACTCATCCAGAGTGACAAGGCCACAAGTGATAGAGGCAAACCCTTGGTGCGGGGGTGACCAAGCCACCTGAGCTGGAGTCTCGTTCCTCACTGGTCTTCACCGTACCACCTCATTCTCTTCAGAATGGCAGCATTTTGAGGGAATTTCTATCCCATGTGAAAGTTGTTAAATTCAACAGAAGGGTTTACCTGGCCCAAACCCCGGCCAAGAGGAGCCAGGGAAGGTCACAAAAGGAAGGACTTGCACACATGGTAACTTTATCGGAAAAATGGCTAACCATGATGTCCAGGGACAGCTGGCTGCTGATATAGTTAGACTTGTCAGCTACCATTTTAAAAGCCTGGCTCAGCAAAATAGCTGGCTCCAACTTTAAGAACAAGCTTCACCTAGTGACTGCTGGCACCATGAACGACAATTGAGTGCCTTTCCTCTGTCCCAGCCACACTCAGCTTTTCTTTTGTTCTCCCAATGGATCCTGGCCCATAGTGTCTTATGATCCCAAACTGCAACTCTGTTGTCATGTTTTATTACCGAATAACAATTCCTTTATTGGAGATCTGTCTTATCTTCCCAGATGTTGATGCCAGCGATGGGGTCGATAGCCTCATCTGGATCTGGTTGCCTCATCTCAGAGTCTCTCCAATTTGGGAGGTCCTCGTATGTACTTTGATCCTCATCTTACAATGTAAGCCTGTGGTTTGGTTGTCATGGCTACTGTCCCCATGTAAGTGCTGCTCATATCTTCTGGGCTCTGGCCCTCCAGGGAAGAATGCGGGCTCTCAAGTCCACCTTGTGAGGGTCTAAATCCTGGGTGGTTTTTTTTTGTTTGTTTTTTCCAGTACTGAAGAGCAAAACTAGGGATGTTCTACCATTGAATTATATCCCCAACCCGTCCTCCCCTTCTGAGACAGGATCTTGCTAAATTTTACCCAGATGGGTTCCAACTTGTGATCCTCCTGCTTCAGCCTCCCTCAGAGCTCAGATTATTGGCATGTGCCACTGAGCGTGCCCCAAACCCTGCTTTCTAATGGAGTCACCTCAGACAAGCCATTTAACCTCTCCAAGTTTAGTTTCCTTAACTATATAAGGGGTTAATAGCAGCACTCATCTAGTGGGGTGCTGGAGAAAATTGAGAACAATGCATGCAAATGCACAGCAAGAACAAATAAATATGACCAATGGGGATCCCTTGCTATGGACACACATTTAAATCTCTCCACCTCTGAAAATTCAGCTTGTTAAGCACAGCAGATCCATGCCATGCCAACCAATCCCTCAACAGGTCCCCTAATATCTAGATGGCATTGTCCCCATGCAACTCAGATGACCTAGCTGGCACTGCCTCTTAAGTACTTTCCAGGGTCTCACATGAGAGATGGGGACACTAAGTCTCAGAGCAGAAAAAAGGTGCTCAAGGCAGGTGGGTGGTGCTGAGCAGGTTCATGACAGAAGAGGCAGTTGTGAAGCAGGAAGGATATACTTCGAGGAGCTCACCCACGATGGGCAGACAGGACAGTTTGTTGCCCTCCATATCTTCAGTGTACATGCTGTCAAACAGGAAGGAACCGTTCAGGTGTTCAACAAATGCCATCTGTGGGTAGGAACACACTGGGTGTGGTGATCACAAGCGGCCCTGTGAGTGAAGACTGGGCAGGAAGCCTTGTACTGGGCAATGGGGCTTGGAAGGCTTCAGGGAGGAGGGGAGAGGCTTCAGGGAGGAGGGGAGACTGCACTTGGGCTGTAGCCTCCTCCCAGGAAGCCAGGTGTGCAAGTTATTCAGAGGAGGGCATGCATGCAGGTATAGAGGACATGGCTGTAGGCTGCTCCTGGAAAGTCATGCCTACATTAGCTAAGGGACTTCGATTGTACCTGTATGCCACAGGGAAATCACCTTAAGGGTCTTAAGAAAAAAAGCTGTGAAGACAGACTTTTTAGTACAATCTGGAAGTGAGCTGGGATAGGCTGAGATGGAGCTGAGCTTGGTGCATGTGGGAAAGGCAGAGTTCGATGAAGAGGGTATGTCAGACCCTGTGGATGCAGCATGATTTACATAATTTGGGGTCTGAGGATCCCTGTAGACCTCTGCTTAATATGATCAGCACATGCTCATGGGAATTTCTGAACCAGGCTGGGGTGAACCCTCCCTCAGAGGTACCTTGTGCTCTTCCAGTTTGGCTTGCTGAGCCTGTTTCTCCTCTAGCTTGGTCTGCCTCACGTGCTCTTGGTGCTTCAACTCATCAATGGTATACTGGTACTTCGTTTCCGCCAGATATTTCTGAGCAGGAATAGGAGGGTGACATCATTACTAGGACATTTAGTCCCTCTGAGCCACAGTGTCGTCCTGTAGCCTCTCAAGTATGAGCTGGCAGGTTGGAGGGTCTCTTTCTTGGAGGTTGGGAAAGCTGGGAGGTCATTGAATGAGAATGGTTTGTCTCTTTATGACCATTTCCAGGTATCCTAAGTCCAAGGGAAATCAAAGAACCTGAAATTCCTGGAGCTGGGAGGTATCTGGGAATCTGTCTTTAGGCCCTGGTCAGTGGGAATGCTCCTGGCATGTCCATGGAGCCCTGGAGGCTGTCCTCCGGCCTGAGTCCCAGGCACTAAGAAGCCTAGGACTTTGGGTGGGCTGTGGTTGGCTCATGACAAACAGTAAGTGAACAGGGTGTTTAAAGGTGTTCTTGCTTATAGAAATCTGCTTTTTGGAACTTTTGCTTATTATTTAGCTTGATGAATCTAGGCAGGTGCCTGAATCATGGGAGGGACCTTTGCTTACTGAGCAATAGGGATGTAAAGGCTGGATGGATATATCTGAGGACCTTTGGCTTTGGTTCTGCACAGTGTTAGGCGTCTGGTGTTTTTATAAGGGACAAAACACATCAACACAGGTCTTCAGCCTATTCTAAGCATTTTAAATTACTGCTTACATGAGAAAATTAAAAATTAACAAGTTTTATGTAAGTACTACACAGTAACTGTACCACTGGAGCTCCTGAAAAATTGTTTTAGAATTCAAACTCAATTTTTAGACTGTTTAAAGACAAGCAAAGGCCATCGTCAGCAGAGGGGCATCGCTCTGATCCAATGTATTTTTAAACCTCCAAGGAAGATTCTGGCAAATGAAGGACTTCACATTTGGAAGCAGCTAGACCCCAGCTCCATGGCCAGGCTACTAGAGTCAGGACTGAGACTGGCCCAGCTCTCCTCCCTGCTTTGGATGGCTGCTCTTGGATCTCCCCTAAATCATCTCGGCGCCCTAAACATGGGTTCTCTCCCAATAAAGACACCAGCTTCAAGACAGGATTGGACAGGTCAACAGCCCTCATCCAATCTCTCAAGGGCTTCCCTGTCTTGCCAGCAATGGGTGGGATTCTTTATCTCTTCTTTCTGACACCTGGGCTGTCTCACAGATCTGGGGGACAGAGAGGAAGACACTTGCCATGTGGTCATCGATGCGTCTGAAGTCCAGGTACACAAGGTCAGGAAGGTAGGCACAGATGAATATCTTGTAATCCTCTGCCTGGGTAATGGGGTTCCCTGAGAGGCTGAGTGTCCGAAGGCACTTGAACTGCCGCAGGTAGATGATCTGGAAGAGTTGGGGTGGGGGAAAAGATTGGTTTTCTGGTGGCCACAGAGCAGAAGACACATATGGCAGCATTTCTCCTCAGTATTTTTCTGGAGTTTTCAGCCTGGTCATGGTGTTTTCTAAGTACACAGGCAAAGAGGTAGGGCTATACTGAAACCTTCCATCAGATCTAGGCTTTCTAAAAACTCAGTCAACTAAGGTTAAAACCTAGATGTGGACTTTGGACAAGTTACCTATCATTTATGAGCCTCAGTTTCCTCATCTGTAAAGTGGACATAAGTATACTGTGTATGGTATAAGTGACATAAAGATCACATGAAATAAGTTCTAAAAAAACATTCAGAAAAGTCCCTGATAGCCAGGTGTCAAATCTAGCCTAAGTTACTTAGACAGACCCTCCCTCGAAAGTCAAAATTTAAAAAGATCTTAAATTCCCAGTAACACACCCATTCCCACATCCACACACACTCTGCCTGCCATACTAAATGAGTAGTTGTGATCATGATGATGATGAGTAGTCACTCAGAGTTAGTGTGTCTTTTTGCCCACTTTTGGAAAGGTCCAAATCTCTCTCTTTTGGTTTTTGTTTTGTGAGACCGGGTCTCATCACGTAGTTCAAACTGGCCTTGAATATACGCTGTAGCCCAAACAGGCCTCAAGCTCATGGTGAGATCTGAGATCCTTCTCCCTCCGTCTCCCAAGCGCTGGGATCACAGGCACGCACCACTATGCTCAGTCAATCTCTTACATTCGGGGGAACTAATGTATGGCTAGCTTTGAATTCACTGGATCATAGTGAGTGGAACATTTCACTAGATGCCGTTTATTGCTCCTATACTCCAGTGTTAGTAAAATGAGAAAAAGTCAAGCATATAATCAATACATCGTGCGACAGCACTGTTTGAGTACCTCACCATGGTGCTATGCAAGGCAGAGGAGGAACTGCATGTACTTTTCTAAATGCATTTTTTTCAGTAATTTATTTTCTTATTGATCCGCCAAACCTTACTAAGCACCTAACAGGGTTCAGGTAAGTGGTTGGCTTTAGCAGTATGAACCAGGAACATGGCTATGGGTCCTTTGCAGTAATAATCTAACAGCAAGAGCTTATATCCTAAGGGTGGGGCAAAATGTTTTTTAAAGTAAAATCATTTCAGTTCAGGGCAAGTGCTACAAAGAATGTAAAGATGGTACAGTGACAGAAAATCATAAAGAAGCCTTTTTCGGCTGGGGGCTCAGCGGTCTTGGAGGGGGTAGTATTTAATCCGAGACCTTAGGGAGCAGCCACAGCACAGCAGGGAAAGCACATTCCCAGAGCTAAAACAGAGCAGGCAAAGGCCTCGAGGTACAAGGGAACGTGGCAGTTACAAAGGCCATCTGGCTGCAGAATGCTGGAGAAGGTGCTGGAAGGACGAGAAATGACCTTGGAGACAAAGTAAGGGGCTTGCTGTTGAAGCCCACATGCACTCTGAGTACGGAGTTCGGAATTTTTTCCCCAAGGGCAATGAAGCCATTGGAATTTTAGTGTGTAGGAAGGGAGAGAGGATCTGGTTTAATTTTTAAAAGATGCCCCAAATGAGATTCTATTTTCCATCTTCAGATTGGCAAATAGAAAATTTTGATAACAAAATGTGTTGTGGAAGGTGAGAGAGAACAGGCTGCCCCATCAACGCTGGCTCTGTAAACAGTTTTATTTCTAAGGTAGGCAATTTGACTAAGATCTATCAAAATTTAAAATGCATATGTCCTCTGACCTTGGATACGCCTTTAGAACTTTATTTTATGGATGGATTAATCAGGTGCAAAGTAACCCTGTTTGTGAACATTCCCCATTCACGGACTTTCACTGTAGCCTGGGTACCAGGTTAGAACCAACCTTTACATCCCCCTCCAGAGATATGAAAAATATGTCATGCCATGTTTGAGCAATGGTTTGATCCAGCAGAGAAGGAGGACCGACGACTCCATGGGGAGGGACAACTAGGTGGTAGGTGCTTGTACACAATGTTTAGATACCAGGCACCTGGAGAAACACACAGCCAACTTAGAAGTGCCTGTGGTCCTGGGAGAGTGAGGCCAGGGATGAGAGGACTCTTCATGTATGCCCTGAGTTCTGCTTCAAAGTCTGTGTTTTTAAAGCAATAAGCAGGTATTAAGCCTTGGAAGTAAATAAATGACGAAAGCATGTAATCAGAAGTCAGATAAACAAGGAAGGCAAGAATTAAAAGCAAAAGATGCTGATGTTAGAAGCTAATACCTGAGCAGTGTCTGTCAGGACCCACTGGGCCAAGTCCCAAGGAGGGTTGGTGCTGGATTAATTAAAGAGGATCCTGGATCCCTAGAGTCCACAGGCTGCAGGCAGGCCTTGGGAACATCTGGCCCAGATTCTCAGCACTCCCTGGCAGCCTCTCCCCATGGGCCTTCTGTCTTCCTCTTTTTTGCTAGGGACTAGATACATGGTCATCTTGAATATTCATATAGAGCTACATGGTACCCTCTGGCTACAGGTGATGGGGTATTTTCCTGTCCAGGCCTTGCAGAAGCAAGATGGGAAGATACCCCGGCCAAGAGGATGGACCAGAGCATGACCGTCTCCACATCCTTTCATATCTAGGTCTGGGCCTTCAGAGGGACAGGGTCTCAGCTCCAGTAAACTCTCCAAGTCTGAGGGATAACAAATCAGAAGGGAGTCGTTTACACACACCTTCCCTAGCACACACGCCAGAACCATCTGTTAAATGTACATAGAAAGTTTCAAGCAGAAAGATTAGAGAATAAGGGTGTGGCTCAGTGGCACAGCACTCATCTAACATGTGGCAGTCCCTGCTTCAACCCTTAGCAAAAGAAAAGAAAAAAGATTTTGGCTGTATTTCCAAATTATAATACTTCTGTATAGCTATCATGTGCCAGGCCCCTGTATGAAGATCCTAACACTCTAATTGATTCAGTCATCACAACAACCTCTGAGGTTAAAAACTACAATAAATGTGATTGTTATGTACTACATACATGTACTAATAGAAATAATAAAAATTGAAATAAAACAAGCTTTCCATTTCTGGAGGAAAAAAAAACCCTACTGCTACTAATCCCATGTTACAATATGCAAAAGGACACACAGAACTCTAAGTCACCAGGCCCAAGATCATATGGCTGGTAGGTGGCAGTGCTGAGATTTGAATACAGTTTGACTAAATCTCAGCTCTAATGTCATTAGCCTGCCTTCCTACCCCTATGCCTCACCCTGCCAGACTCCATTTCTTTGCCCCTAAGAAGGGCACTGGTGGGTTTAAATTCTCTGGCATAAAATACATTCACTGGAAGAAAGATAGCCTCTTTAATAAATGGTGCTGGAAAAACTGGCTCTGCACATGCTGCAGATAAACTGGACCTCCATCTTGTACCATGCACTAAGCTAAAATTGGAATGGATCAAAGATCTTAATATTAAAACAGAAACATTAAATCTGCTGGAAGATAAAGTATGTAAAACTCATTTTTTTTTGGTCTTTTTGAGACAGGGCCTCACTATGCATGGCCTTGAGCTCACTTTGTATCCCAGGTTGGTCTCAAACTTGCACAATCCTCCCGCCTCAACCTGCCAAGTGCTAGGATTACAGGCATGCACCACTGCACCTGTCCAGACAGTGGGTAAAACTTTTGAAGACATTGGTGTAGGCAAAGACTATGAACAAAACCCTGATTGCAGAAGAACTGTCATAAAGAATCAACAACTGAGACCTCATCCTGTTGAAAAGCTTTTGCTGAGCAAGGGAAACCACCAACAGAGTGAAGAGACAACCCATAATGTGGGAGAAACTGTTTTCTAGCTGTTTTTCACACAAAGGATTACTATCCAGAATGTATAAAGAACTCAAAAAATTCAGTTCTACCACATTTAAAGACACACTCCAAAAATGGGCATCTGAGATGAATACACACTTCTCAGATGAAGAAATACAAACAGCAAAAATACAAGAAACAGTGTTCAACATCCCTGGTCATTTGAGAGATGCAAATTAAAACAACCCTGAGATTCCACTTCACTCTAGAAAAATAGCTCTTGTAAAGAAATCAAAGAATAAAGTCCTTACCCACCAAGAAGAGCCCAGGCCCAGATGGATTCACTGCAGAATTCTACAAGAAATATAAAGAAGACCTAATGCCGACACTCCTCAAACTAGTCAATGAAACTGAAAGGGAAGCAATCCTTCCTAAGTCATTCCTGGAAGCAAATATTACTCTAGTACCAAAACCTGAGAAAGACCCAACTATAAAAGAGAACTATAGACCGATCTCCCTAATGAACACAGATGCAAAAATCCTCAATAAAATATTGGCAAATAGGATCCAGCAAATCATCAAGAAGATTATACACCATGACCAAGTGGGATTCATCCCAGGAATGCAAGGATGGTTCAACATACGCAAATCAATAAATGTAATCCACCATATCAATAAAGCCAAAAATAAGAATCACATGATCATTTCTATAGATGCAGAAAAAGCCTTCGATAAGGTCCAACACTTATTCATGATAAGAACTTTACAAAAAATTGGAATAAATGGTCTTTACCTCAATATAATAAAGGCCATTTATGACAAACCAACAGCCAGCATCATACTAAATGGCCAAAAATTGAAAGCCTTTACTTTAAAATCGGGCACAAGACAAGGATGTCCTTTATCACCACTCCTATTTAATATAGTACTGGAAGTACTAGCCAAAGCAATTAGGCAAAAAAGAGAAATAAAAGGGGTAAAGATAGGAAAAGAAGAAGTTAAATTATCATTGTTTGCAGATGACATGATACTCTACATAGAAGACCCCCTAAACTCCATTGAAAGACTCTTAGATACAATAAATAAATTCAGTAATGTGGCTGGATACAAAATCAATACTCAGAAATCAATAGCATTCCTATACACGAACAACAAAATCACAGAGAGGGAAATAAGAGAAACTGGACTATTCACATTAGCAAGCAAAAAAATGAAATA